TCTCAGGCTCTCGACGCTCAGTCAGGGACTGTGTCACCGCAGTGTAAGGAGCAGGAGCAGGCAGTGGGGAGTGCGGTAGCAGTGGCGGCTGTGACTGGTCCGCCGGTGGAAACAGTAACTGAGGAGTAGTACCTGCCACTGGGAAGTCAGTAGCACCTGGCGGAAGACTAAGAAGGTGGCGAAGAGCACCAGTAGCTCCCGTACCTCCAGCACAAGCAGCTACTCCAGTACCCCCAGCAACACCTCCAGCACCAGTAGCACCAGCACCTCCAGTACCACGAGCTCCGACAGCGCCAGCACCTCGAGCACCAGTAGTACCTCCAGTACCTCCAGTGCCTCCAGCTCCAGCTCCAGCGCCTCCAGCACCAGTAGTACCTCCAGTACCTCCCGTGCCAGCAGCTCGAGTAGCACCTCCAGCACCAGCAGCACCACCTGCTCCAACGCCTCCAGCACCAGCAGCACCAACACCTCCAGGGTCAGCAGCTCCCGCAGCTCCAGCACCAGTAGCACCAGCACCTCCAGTGCCAGCAGCTCCAGTACCCCCAGCACCTCCAGTAACAGTAGTACCTCCAGCACCAGCAGCTCCAGTACCTCCAGCTCCAGTACCTCCAGCACCAGCAGCACCTCTAGTACCTCCAGTGGTACCTCCAGCACCTCCAGCACCTCCTGGACTAGTAGCTCCAGCACCAGCAGGACCGTACCCTCCACCACCAGGACTGCCTCGCCGAACGACCCACGCACGAATCGCCTGCGGCGAGAGCGTCTCAAGTAGAGCAGTCTGCGGTGGCTGTCCAGCTCCAGTACCTCCAGTAGTGGTAGCTCGAGCACCTCCAGTACCAGAAGCACCTCTAGTACCTCCAGCTCCAGCACCTCCAGCACCAGCAGCAGCTCCAGTACCTCCAGCACCAGTAGTACCTCTAGTACCTCCAGTAGTACCTCCAGGCCTAGTAGCTCCAGTACCTCCAGCTCCACAACCTCAAGAAGGACTCGCAGCACCCCCAGAGTCAGCACCCGAAGTCTCAGCACCCCCAGAGTCAGCACCCAAAGTCTCAGTACCCCCGGCTCAGTACCCTCAGGCTCAGTACCCTCAGTCCCAACACCCGCAGACTCAGTGCCCTCAGTCCCAGCACCCACAGGCTCAGTACCCTCAGTCCCAGCACCCGCATGCTCAGTACCCTCAGTCCCTGCACCCTCAGTCTCAGCTCCAGTGTCCACTGCAGAAGGCTGCAGAGGCGGGAAACCGGGGGGGGTAGCCAAACGAGGAGAGCGGACACCCCCAGACGTACCACCCCCAGGCCCAACTCCAGCAGCCTCAGCTCCAGAGTCCACAGCAGCAGGCTGCGGAGGTGGCGAAGACGGCCGAGGCGGGAAACCCGGGGGGGTCTCCAAGCGAGGAGAGCGGCGAGTGGTCGCCGTGTCGTCGGCGGCGGTGTCACTCCCCTCAGCTGGGTCAGAGGAGTCAGAAGAGATCTCCACTGGCTCATCCAAGGGGGGTGGGTCTACCTGAGACACACCTGAGGGAGCAGGACCCTGTGGGGGAGGGGGGTCTACCGGGGGGGGGGGACTGGTACCAGGAAGAGAGGCGCGAGGGGGACCGGGTGGGACGCGTGCGGGTGAAGCTGGTAGTAACAGACCGACTCGTCGAAGGTGACGTCCTGAGAGGACAGAACACGACGCGAGGCAGGGTGGTAGAACTGCCAGGGCGGAGCGTCGGTGGGGAAGCCCAGGAAGACACAGCGGAGAGTGCGAGGAGTGAGCTTGCTCGCTTTGGTATCGCAAACAAGGGAGAGCGCGCCCCAGACCCGAAACGACGACGCATCACCAGGCTGTCCCGTCCAACGGAGTATGGGCGAGGTCTCTGGAGCAGAGACACGGGGCCAAAGGTTGAGCTGATGCGCGGCGTATCGGACCGCAAACGGCCATAGGAAATGGGGAGCAGCCGCATGGATCATGGAGGTACGAGCAACCTCCATGATCAGGCCAATGCGACGCTCAGCGATCCCATTTTGCTGCGGAGAGGCCGGAAGCATGAACGACTGGGCGATGCCCTCGTCCTGACAGAACGTCTCAAGGACGCTAGAGGAGAACTCACCACCCCTGTCAGAGTGCAGACGCAGGACTGTGAAGTCCTGCTGAAAACGCTCGTGCAGCTGGAGACGAGTAGCACGGATCCAGGGGATCAAAACACCGCTGACGTCCGCCTTGCGCCGCAAGGGGAAGACGGTGGTGTAGCGTGTGTAGTCGTCAACAACCAGCAGGAAGTAGCGCTCCTGGTCCGTTCCACCGACTGGGGCCGGGCCCCACACGTCCAGGTGCAGAGTCTGCAGAGGAGCAGTGGTCGGAGGAAACTCGGAGGAGTGAGGAGCGGCGCGCTGCTGCCCCTCGACGCAAGCGAGCGCGGCAGGGGGGGCAGGGTCCTGGGGAGGCCAGAGACAAGGAGATGGGAGTACATACTGCGTAGACGCGGCAGGGATGGGTGACCAAGACGGTGGTGCCAGCGCTGAGTCTCGTGCGTGAGTACTCTGCACGAGCAAGACGCAGCTAACTGTCCCGACGCAGACGCCCGACTCGACGCAGCCACCTGACCTGACTCAGCCACCTGTGCAGACGCAGTGGTCAGTGTGTACAGACTAGACCCAGGCTGTCGAGTGAACGTAGCCAGGTGACGGCCAGTCCTGGAGCACGTACAGATCGCCACACGCTGCCCTCCAGGAATAAAGTTATCAACCCAGACATCCTGAATGGCAGCGTTGCTCACCAAGTTCGTCGAGAACGTGGGGAGGTGGAGACCTGACAGAGAACCGGAGGGGACTGCTGGACAAGGGAGGACCGTAGAGGCTCTCGCAACTACTGGGCCCCCAGAGGGGTCAGCCAGTGAGACTGGGACAGGTGCTGTGAGTAGTGTGACTGTGGTGCAATCACGAAAGAAGCAACGTGACGCGCCTGAGTCAAGTGTGAAAGTGTGCAAGACCTCAGCGGAGGCAGGACCTGTGGCAGTAGACGCACTAGCACCTAGAGCGTCGGCAGACTCACGGGCACCTAGAGCAGCAGCAGACTCACTAGCACCTGGAGTGGCAATAGACTCACTTGCACCAAGACCAGCAGCCTTAACACAACGATAACCTCCACCACCAGGCCTGCCTCGCTGAACAACCCACTCACAAAGCTGCTGAGGGGTGGGGTCGTCCGGGAGAGGCAGTCCCCGCTGCTGTCCACCCCTGGCCGCAACAACTACCGCGATCGTGGCCATGACAGACAGCGACGGTCAGGAGTAGGTCCAGCACCTCCAGCTCCTCTAGCAACAGCAGCACCTCCAGCACTCCCAGCAGCACCTCCACCAGCAGCAGCAGTAGCACGAGTAGCAGCATCAACAGTAGTATTTTTTTTTTTTTAATTGTTGTTATTATTATTATTTAGGGTTTAGGATTGTGCGCGGCCGGGGCTGCAGGGGCGACGCGCGGCTCGGCAGGGCGGCGCGCGGGCTGCAGGGGCGACGCCCACGGGCTGCAGGGGCGACGCGCAGCTCGGCAGGGCGGCGCGCGGGCTGTAGGGGCAGCGCACGGCTCGGCAGGGCGGCGCCCAGGTTGCAAGGGCGACGCTCGGCTCGGCAGGGCGGCGCGCGGGCTGCAGGGGCAGCGCCCACGGGCTGCAGGGGCGACGTGCAGCTCTTCAGGGTGGCGTACGGGCTGCAGGGGCGACGCGCGGCTCTGCAGGGCGGCGTACGGGCTGCAGGGGCAGCGCCCACGGGCTGCAGGGGCAAGGCGCGGCTTGGCAGGGCGGCGCGCGGGCTGCAGGGGCAGCGCCCACGGGCTGCAGGGGCGACCCGCGGCTCTGCAGGGCGGCGTACGGGCTGCAGGGGCGACGCGCGGCTCTGCAGGGCGGCGTACGGGCTGCAGGGGCAGCGCCCACGGGCTGCAGGGGCAGCGCCCACTGGCTGCAGGGGCAGCGCCCACGGGCTGCAGGGGCGACGCGCGGATCGGCAGGGTGGCGCCCGGGCTGCAGAGGCAGCGCCCACGGGCTGCAGGGGCGAACTCGCGGGCTGCAGGGGCAGGCACGGCTGCAGGGGCAGCACGGTCGCAGGGGCAGGCACGGCTGCAGGGGCAGCACGGTCGCAGGGGCAGGCACGGCTGCAGGGGCAGCACGGTCGCAGGGGCAGGCACGGCTGCAGGGGCAGCACGGTCGCAGGGACGAGCACGGCTGCAGGGGCAGCACGGTCGCAGGGGCGAGCACGGCTGCAGGGGCAGCGCGGTCGCAGGGGCAGCACGTGGGCTGCAAGGGCAGCGCGGCTGCAGGGGCGGAACGTTCGGTGGGCCCTAGGAACGATTCTGCTCTAATACCATGTTAGAATAAGCAGGCAGGAATGCTGGACTAGGTAGCATGCATGAGTACAAGTACCTAACCCTAAAGTGTTGTACCCCTTGTAGCCGAACCCACTATAGCCTAGAGATAACACAAACATACAGTTTGACAAAGAGGCCTGTACTTTACTGTAGCTTGTGTGGTACATTGCAACAGAAGTCTCCTTTTAACTACAAACCTTTCTTTTGTTGTTGGTTGGCATGGTCCAATACACAGCAAGGCATGACACACTGGTGGTACCGAACTAGCCAAATGGACTGGCCTGGCAAGCAATCTTCTCCCCCAGACTCGTGCACATTGTACTTGGTTCGTTAGTGCATTACTCACAAAGAGTTCTCTATTGTATGTTTACTGTAGCTTGCTGTACATTGCAGCAGAAGTATTCTACAAACATTTTCCCCTGTTGCTGGTCGGCATTTGTACACAGAGCAGGCACGAGACACGATTCAGAGTGACACTGGTTCCGTACAAGCCAAAAGGTCTGGCCAGCAATCTTCTCCCCAGAGTGCTTTGCAACTGCAAAGAGAAGGCCCCTAAGGCACAGAACTCGCATTGGTGACATGACATGTAACCAGGTTCAAATGACAAGTAACTAGCTTCAATGGTATGCAACTAGCTTTTCCGACACGTAGCAGCACGGTTCAGATGACATGCAGCTCTGCGAGGAAATCAGCACTGAGGTCGAGGAAGAGCATGTGGGAGCCGTCCACGTGCTGCACGTCCAACAGATACTTCTCATCCCGCACCTTGAACAGCTGTGTGCGGTGCAGTGCGGTAAGGGGAATGGATGGGGTTCAAGAGCAATAATTAGGACTCTGGTCAAGACTTCAGGTACTGACTTCCAGAACAATGATTACAACCCCAACCCCACACCCGGCAAGTTTTGGTGGTAATGGTAACGGTGCAGTGGTGGTAAGTGTTGAGAATTCTCACTCACAATCTCCAGGGTACATCCAGCAACAGAACAGCGGGAGCCATTTGCGTTGTGGTATGCATAATAAAAAAGCAAGGAGGGAGAGGCGGAGTGCACGAGCAAGGGCGATCAAGGCCGTTGCTCAAGGTAAGTTCGATCGAAGAGCAGTAGTGAGACTGACTGGGACACACACGCTCACCTGCATCTCGAACCGCAGTAAACGTCGAACCCCGCCTCCGACCAGCGCCTCCACAGGAATCACCGGGCGGCCTCTCTCGTCCTGTATCGTCCTTACACCATCCAGCCTCCCACCATCCACCAGCATCCCGTCCGCATCCCCACCGCCCCCACCATACCCACCCCCACGCCCATGCCCATGCACCCAGGAGGCTGTGCTAGAGGCAGCACCGGAGGAGGAGGAAGAGGAGGCGTTGGGGGGGAAGGGGAGGGGCCCGTCCCAGCGGCACTTGACGACGTAGGGGGATAGTTTCTTCCACCGCACCTGTAGCGCTTGCAGTGCGCGGAACACCTCCCCCATCACCTCCATTGGGTGTGCGCGGGACTGATGAAGGAAAGGAGGGGGGGAAGGGGTGGGGGGAATCAGGCCTGTTAATGACACCAAGAGTCACCTGCAGCGCTTGCAGTGCGCGGAACACCTCCCCCATCACCTCCATTGGGTGTGCGCGGGACTGATGAAGGAAAGGAGGGGGGGAAGGGGTGGGGGGGATCAGGCCTGTTAATGACACCAAGAGTCACCTGCAGCGCTTGCAGTGCCCGGAACACCTCCCCCATCACCTCCATTGGGTGCGCTCGGGACTGGTGGGAAGGAGAGAGAACAGAGGGGAGGGAGGATGTAGAGGGAAGTGGGGAGAGTGAGCGGTGAGGAGGAGGGAGGGTGAGGGAGAGGGAGGGGTCGTTACCTGCAGTATTGTATACACCTCCTCACACTCACACTCACTCACAGGCACGCACACATGCACACACTCATGGTCACTCCCACCTGCAGCCCCAGTGCCCACTTTCTGTCCACCACAACACTTTGATGATTATGGACCCGCATACTCAACCACACCGCAATCCCCAACCCGTCTTCCTGTCCCCACGCCCACATGCGTTCACTCCCTCACCTGCAGCCCCAGCGCCCACTTTCTGTCCGCCACAACCCGCTGATAATAATACACCAGCGTTCTCCACACCCCCATCCCCCACCCCCGTTCCAGTCCCATCACCCACACACGTTCACTCCCTCTGCAGCCCCAGCGCCCACTTTCTGTCCACCACAACCCTTTGATGATTATGCACGGGCGACCCCGGCACCCCCACCCCAGCCCTCCACTCCCACCTCCACCCCCGCTCCCAACACTCCTCCGCGCCACAGCGCATGCCCCAATCCCCCTCTCGCGGCCACCAGTGGGGACCCATCGGCAGCGAGCGCGTGCGCGGCGTGCTGCTGGTGCTGCTGGTGCTGGTGCTCGCACTCACACTCACTGACATACTCATAAGCACACACGCACTCATTCACGTTAATCCACTCACCTGCAGCCCCAGGGCCCACTTCCTGTCCGCCACAACCCTTTGATGATTATGTGCGGGCGACCCCGGCACCCCCTCGCGGCCACCAGCGGGGACCCATCGGCAGCGAGCGCATGCGCGGCGTGCTGCTGGTGCTGCTCACACTCACACTCAATCACACACTCACAAGAACGCACGCACACACTCACTCACTCACATGGCCATGCACGCACACACAGACTTGCAATCTCTCACCTGCAACCCCAGCGCCCACTTTCTGTCCGCAACAACCCGCTGATGATTATGCGCAGGCGACCCCGGCACCCCCATGCCCAGCCCGCCACTCCCCCCGCCACCGCCACTCCCAACACTCCGCCTCGCCACCAACGCATGCCCCAGCCCTCCTCTCGCGGCCACCAGCGGGGACCCATCGGCAGCAAGCGCATGCGAGGCGTGCTGCTGCTGCCCCTCCTTGTGCTCGTTGAACTCGGCGCCCAGGTAGCCCGTGGAGATGCGGCGGTGCGAGTCGAGGAGGAGATAGTATGCCACTGTTGCCTTGTTGGTGTGCCTCTCCCGCAGGGATTCTGCTAGATGCTCTTGATCGAATCCCATCTTGGTCACCACTTGAAAGATCTCCTCGTCAATCTGATGTGTGTGGGGAAGAGAAGGAGGAAGAGTGGATGAAGAGGCGTGCTGATGCCCCTCCTTGTGCTCGTTGAACTCGGCGCCCAGATAGCCCGTGGAGATGCGGCGGTGCGAGTCCAGCAGCAGGTAGTATGCCACTGTGGCCTTGTTGGTGCGCCGCTCCCGCAGGGACTCTGCTAGATGCTCCTGGTCGAACCCCATCTTGGTCACCACCTGGAATATCTCCTCGTCGATCTGACGGTTGTGGGAGGAGAGGGGGAGGGGAGACGGGAAGAGGAGGTGGGGAGGAGGGGCAGAGGATGAGGAGAGGCCGGACTCTGCCTCGTGTTCCTGGTCTAACCCCATCCTCGTCACCGCCTGGAATATCTCCTCGTCGATTCGGCGAGTGTGAGTGTGAGAAGAGAGGAGGGGATGGAGACAGATTAGAGGAGGGGCAGAGAGAGCGAGAGGAGAGGAGGGTCTCCGCCAGGTGCTCCTGGTCGAACCCCATCTTCATCACCACCTGGAATATCTCCTCGTCAATCTGGTGGTGGTGGAGAAAACAGCAAGGGGGGCAAAATATACGACAGACTCTGCAAAGTGCTCCTGGTCACATTCCAGAAATCCAACGTCTCCTACATCCCCTCACTTTCCCCCCTTCAACCCCCCAATTCCTGTCCCCCTGTTCTAGTTCCCCCTTCCATTCCTGAAACCCCCTCTCATCCCATCCTGCATCTCACCCCTTTGGCCTGCTCGGCAGCACTGGCTGCAAGCCAGGTATCGCGGGAGCCTGGAGAGGAACTGTGGGTGGTGGAGAATTCCCCCTCATCATCCCCACACCCTCCCCCATCCCCCCTCCCACCCCCTTACCCTGTAACCACGTTGAATCTCTTATTGCACCTCTCACCCGCTTGGCCTGCTCGGCGGCGTTGGGTGGCGGAACAGCGAGGTAGCGGGGGAGCTTGGCGAGGAACCAGGGGTGGTGGCGGATCTCGGGGATGGTGATGCGCTTCATTGGGTCCACCAGAAGCATTCGCGGTATCAGGTCGCGCGCCCCCGCGGAGAGATGGTGAGGGAGAGCGTAGATGCCTCCCTGCACACAGAAAGCATCATGAGGCATGGGCATGGGCACAGGATGGTGATGCGCTTCATTGGGTCCACCAGTAGCATGCACAGTATCAGGTCGCACGCACCCGCCGACAGGTGGTGTGGGAGGGCATAGATGCCGCCCTGCAAAGGCAGAAAGCCATACGGGGGGCGGGCGGCGGGCATGGGCATGTCATGGTTGGAATGGTGATGCGCTTCATGGGGTCCCCTAGTAGCATTCGCGGTATCAGGTCGCGCGCGCCTGCTGAGAGGTGGTGGGGCAGGGCGTAAATTCCACCCTGCAACGATGTGAAGGGGATGCGGGGGCACGGGCAAGGGTAGGGTATGGTTGGGATGGTGATGCGCTTCATGGGGTCCACTAAGAGCATGCGCGGTATCAGATCGCGCATGCCTGCTGATAGATGGTGAGGAAGGGCGTATATGCCGCCCTGCATGATGGGGAGAGAGGAAAGTGAGAGCATGGGCATGAGAACAGGATGGTTGGGATGGTGATGCGCAGCATGGGGTCCACTAGTAGCATGCGCGATATTAAGTCGCGCGCCCCTGCAGAGGGGTTGCGAACCGGGACCAGTTCACGGGGGGTTGTGAACTGGGGCCAGTTCACAGGGGGTTGTGAACTGGGGCCAGTTCACTGCACCGCAAGCATATTCACTGCAATGCAAGCACATACACTACACCGCAGACACATACACTGCACTGCAAGCACATAGACTGCGCTGCAAACACATACACTGCACCGCAGACACATACACTGCACTGCAAGCACATAGACTGCGCTGCAAACACATACACTGCACCGCACGCTCATACACTGCACCGCACGCTCATACACTGCACCGCACGCTCATACGCTGCACCGCACGCACACACGCTGCACCGCACGCACACACGCCGCACCGCCCGCACACACGCTGAGCCGCCCGCTCATACGCTGCACCGCCCGCTCATACGCTGCACCGCCCGCTCATACGCTGCACCGCCCGCTCATACGCTGCACCGCCCGCTCATACGCTGCACCGCCCGCTCATACGCTGCACCTCCCGCTCATACGCTGCACCGCCCGCTCATACGCTGCACCTCCCGCTCATACGCTGCACCTCCCGCTCATACGCTGCACCGCACGCTCATACCCTGCACCGCCCGCTCATACGCTGCACCGCACGCACATACGCTGCACCGCACGCTCATACGCTGCACCGCACGCACATACACTGCACCGTACGCTCATACACTGCACCGCACGCTCATACCCTGCACCGCCCGCTCATACGCTGCACCGCACGCACATACGCTGCACCGCACGCTCATACGCTGCACCGCACGCACATACACTGCACCGTACGCTCATACGGTGCACCGCGCGCTCATACACTGCACCGCACGCACAGTCACTGCACCGCGCGCTCATACACTGCACCGCACGCACAGTCACTGCACCGCACGCTCGTACACTGCACCGCACGCACAGTCACTGCACCGCACGCTCATACACTGCACCGCACGCACAGTCACTGCACTGCACGCTCATACACTGCACCGCACCACACCTTGATCTTCTTAAAGAGGTTGGGGATGTTTTCATCATCGAATGGCAGGGTGCCGCACAGCAGCGCGTACAAAATCAACCCAACCATCACCCACCATCACCGCAACCGCACCTTGATTTTCTTAAAGAGGTTGGGGATGTTTTCATCGTCGAATGGAAGGCTGCCACACAGCAGCGCGTACAGAATCACCCCGCAGCTCCACACGTCCACCTCGGGCCCTCCGTACAGCCGCCCTGATATCACCTGATGAAGGGTAGGGGAAAGGGGGAGGGATGGGGAAAGGGGGGGGGATAAATGTACAGGAGTCAGTCCGGCAAGTGATTGATACCAGCTCCACACGTCCACCTAGGGCCCTCCGTACAGCCGCCCTGATATCACCTGAGGGGAGAGAGAGAAGGGGGGGAGGAACAGGTGTACAGAGGTGAGTCAAGCTTTTCATGTTCCAAACCAACTCCACGCGTCCACCTCGGGACCTCTGTACTGTACAGCCGCCCGCCCTGATATCACCTGAGCGAAAAACAGGGAAAGGGGGGGTAAGTGGGAGAGTGATTTTCAGGTAATTGAAACTATCTTCACACGTCCAAGTGGGGACCACCTCACAGCTGCCCCGGTATCACCTGAAAGGAGTTGGGCAGGCGAGGTGGCAGAAGGAAGAGGGCAGAGGAGAGGGGGGAGGAAGATGAGTGCATGACAGAGCCAGCGTTGAAAGAGACAGAGGGAAGAGTCAACAAGCTTGGCTTTGACAAGCTACCTGGCTTTGACAAGCTACCTGGCTTAAGAAAAACAAAACCCTCAATTGAGCAACGTCACTCATGTCCTCCATTCATACCTCCGGAGCGGCGTAGTTGGCGCTGCCGCAGGACGTCTTGAGGAAGTGGCCGTCACGCATGACGTTGCTGAGCCCAAAGTCAGCAACGTTTACATCAGCTCACACTGAATGAATGCCATCTGAATGGCCCACACGTACCTCAGGAGCAGCGTAGTTGGGGCTACCTGGCGAACATATCTCGGGAGCTGCATAGAGCTGCAACTGCCGTACCTCAGGAGCAGCGTAGTTGGGGCTGCCACAGGACGTCTTGAGGAAGTGCCCGTCGCGCATGACGTTGCTGAGCCCAAAGTCGGCGATCTTGACGTTGCCCTTGGCGTCCAGCAGCAGGTTCTCGGGCTTTAAGTCGCGGTGCACCACCATGTTGCGATGGCAGTACTCGATGCCGCTCACAATCTGAATAATATCAGGGGGGTGGGGGTTTACAGGGGTAGACGTGGGGGACGGGCTTTAAGTCGCGGTGCACCACCATGTTGCGATGGCAGTACTCGATGCCGCTCACGACCTGAACCATCGATGGAGGGCGGGGGGGATGAAGGGAAACAAGTGAGGATGGCCTTTAAGTCCCGGTGCACCACCATGTTGCGATGGCACAACTCAATGCAGCTCAGGGTCTGACGTGAGGAATACAGAGGGAGGAGAAGGCGAGGGGGCGGGGGGCTGGGAGAAAGGGAGAAAGAGGCGAAAAGGAGGTGGGGAGGGAAGGGACACAGGCTGCCCAGAAGGTGTCAATGCAGCGGTTTCACTTAGAAGGCTAGGACGGCGCAGCTGTACTGCTCTGCTCCGCTCATGGCCTCCCATGCAGTGACCATGAACCGCCCTTGCAACCTCACACACCTGTTGAAATGCTGAAGGATTACAAGCTTGCCGAGAGCACACTCCTGCTGGAAAAAACGTCTGGCTTCGTCCTCAAGTAGCCGCCCCTTCTCGACAATGTAGTCGAAGAGCTCGCCCGCCTTGACGTACTCCATCACCACGACGATGTCTCTTGAGGCGCCTCTACCACCTCGCAGCACCATTCCACGGGCAGGCAACACACACCCACCTGCTGGAAAAAGCGTCTGGCTTCATCCTCGAGCAAGCGCCCCTTCTCGACGATGTAATCAAAGAGCTCGCCCGCCTTGACGTACTCCATCACCACGACGATGTCCTTTGAGGGACCTCAACAGCCAGGCCAAGGTGATGAGAACACCCACCCACCCACCTGCTGGAAGAACCGCCGTGCCTCATCCTCCAACAGCCTGCCCTTCTCGACGATGTAATCAAAGAGCTCGCCCGCCTTGACGTACTCCATCACCACGAATATGTCCGCGGGTGTCTCGATGACCTCGTACAGCCTGATGATGTGCGGATGCATGAACAGCCGCAGGATCTTGATCTCCCGACGCACTGCCGGGTGGTGGGGGGGGAGCGGGGAGCGGGGGTGCAGGAATGCGGGGGTGAAAGGGGAGGAGATGAGTGAGAGGGGAATTGCGGCCAAAGGGCGTCTCAATAACCTCGTATAGCCGGATAATGTGCGGACGCGTGAAAAGCCGCAGGATCTTTATCTCCCTCCGCACTGCCGGGTGGAGTGGGGTTGCAGGGTGTGGTGGTGTGGGGTAGCGGGTGTAGGGTTGCGGGATAAGGGGGGTCGGGGGTTCAGGGGGATGTACGGTATGAACGTAAGGAGAGACAGATGCATGGACAGATATATGGAGAGCGGGAATGCCAGTGGGATGGGGAAGTGGAAGGAAGGAAAGAGTTGAATGGGAGTTAAAGCTTAATCGCTAACAGGAACCGGAGACTAAGAAGCTCGCAAATGCCAAGCAAGTGATCGTACAAGATATAATAAAATTCGAGAAAACCAGGTGTTCATGAATTTCACGCGCTTAGGGTTCCAAGACCGGAAACCAGGGTCGGCGTACCTTTTTCCTCCATGTCCATGGATCTAATCTTCCGCCGGTTCAGGATCTTAATCGCCACTTTATGTCCCGTTAGTACGTGCTCCGCTACCTTCACCTTGCCGAACGACCCCACACCCAGCGTCTTCCCTAACCGATAGTTCGGCAGGTAAAACTCCGCATTTGCTCCGCTGCCACGTGGCGGCGCAGGCGCGCCCTCCATGGCTGATGTGGCGACGTCTGAAAGCTAGATTAGTCAGTATTCACGCGGAAAAGGTGTGCTTTTTACACATGGACTGCTCACGGATCCGTGGTACAAACCTACTCTGTGATTTTCTACAATCGAAACGTCTGCATGCCCATCTCGTACCTATCGTATACATATGCCACTATGTCGCATCGGTCTCACATCTGACATCTGTCGCGTCGCGTGCACCGAGTCTGCGAACAGTGTTCCCCAACGACTACAGAAACCAAATCAAGCATTAGGCTGTGCCGGTGCGGTCACGGCAATGCGCTCTATGCTGCGAAACATACGGCAACGCGCCGCGCGAGACACGTGCGAGGTACACGCTGAAGTTTCGTGGGTAAGAATTCTGACTGATCGGCAGCAGGTCAGCGCAATCGTCATTTCACGAAACCAGTTGCTGGCCAAGATCGAGTTTAGGCTCGTCAGCCATAAACGCTCGAATTGCGGTCGTCAGTCGCTACCATACCACGGCCCAGTTGCCTTCCCACGGCAGGAACTAGTTTAGGTAGGAAGTAGACTAGGTGCGTGCTGGGTGCGATAGTCACTGCTTGACGAGCAACTTTCATCAAAACCAGGGCAGATCTTTTGCGGGAAACTGAATTGACGGCCGTGAGTGCTAGCTACTTTCCAGGACCCGCTGAGGTGGACTATCCAACGAATGGCACGGCATGGTTCGGGGCTGGTGCTTCCCAGAAAATGGACGGCTGCGCGATTCCTGACAATTTTTTCCACTTACAAGTGTAGGTGTGTACAACAGTACAGTTTTCTTTCTGACCTACACTTCAATCAAATGTACAACAATAATCAGCCACTAAAACCGTAGCCCACAACGTGAAGCTATATAGCAGATACTTCATGAATCCTATCATCTTGTGCTTCCAGAGCCAGAATAGAACCGTGTAGATGCACACCGCAAGCTCTCTGCAGTGTCGGCCCCCGTTAAAGTATTCACTCCAGAAGCCCTCAAGCACAGTTGCTTCAACTGCAGAAGAGAATTTGAAAGGATTAGAGGACAGATTAGAGAGTGTGCAAGATTTCAGACAGAAGCAACTCTTACAAACCAGAGAAACATCCATACTTGATACTTGTCAATGATGGCGTCAGTGAAGTCAGCCCCAGTAATATCAGCTCCTCCTAAGTCAGTGAGTGCCAACCATGCCCCTCGCAGTACAGCGTTGCGTAGGTCTGCATCATTTAATACTGCTCTGTCAATCAGGGCATCTGATAGATCAGCTCCTGATAAGTTCGCCTTGTACAGGACCGCCTAGGAAGTGAAAAACAGAAAAGTCAGATAGAGAGAGACGGTTCATTAAAAGGCAGGAGAACAGACAAACTGGAGTATTCAACAACGTGAGTCATAGTCTCACATGAGAAGTGACATGGCTCTATCCAGCACAATGGTGAGCAGATATAAGAAAGATCGATTTGACATGGCATACCTTAGTGAACATGGCCCCTCGAAGGTCAGAACCATGCAGGTCGGTGCCACGAAGGGAAGCTTCCATGAAGGTCGCGCCTTGCAGATCAGACACTGACAAATCTTGGCCATCCCTCTTGACGTACGACTCGTTGATTTGCTGATCAATGGAACATATTTTAGATACAATAAATATTGTGACAGATGAAAAACAAACGCAGGAAATTGGTACTTTATGGCTAAAACTTTTTCTTCTTGCTCTTTACTCCTTCTGCCACGTAAACATATTGATGGGCAATCTCTTACCTCTTGCACTCGCGGTCTTAGCGTCTGAATGTCCAACAGCGCGTCATTTTCGGCAGCAGCCATGGCTGGACTCAAGGCGAGCAGCAATGAGCACGAAGCGGCTGCGAGCACCACGGCTGTGATGCGCACGTACGGTGGAATGCAAAGCGTGGCAAGGCTGATCGCTGAATTTCCCTGATGAAGATATTGCGATTCGTCAACCCGTTGCATGGCCGTGATTATACGAGCGGAAGCAATCCGATGGCTTTGGAAGGAAGGCCGACGTTGAGAAGGCCATTCAGCGAGAGTGGAGGCTGCAAGGCGCCTAATGAGTCGCGGTGAGCATGGTAGATTGCATCGGGATAGACAGGATCTAGCAGATCCATCCGTCCCGAGGAGCCATTGTGGGGGTGAAGCGGTGATGGAGGCAGGACACCGAATGCTAACCAGAAAAGCGGCCATATCTTCGTAATTATGCCTTGCTTGACTATGCGGGCTCCTCAACCAAGTAAAATTTGTTGATCAGTGATGGCTATAGAGAACTAGAAGTCATGGGGGGATGATGTGGGACATGGATCGTGCTGTGTCGATGCAATCCGTCAAGAGTTCACCCCAAATTAGGGTGGGCGAAAGTGAGCGACTAGCAAGCAAAGTTCGCCCTCGGATGTGTACACGGTTGACTCTCGCCAACCTGCTCGTCACAAAAAGATTCGCGATTGACAACTCAGAAAAAAGCCCCAATCAACGAACTCCTCCACCTCCACCAAAAACCACACAAATGTCCCCTCAGGGAAAAAACGACAATTTCGCGCCTGACCATGCTGGGCTGAGGTGGTGCGCCGGGTATTTGAGTGTGCAGAAGCTTTGAAACCCGGTGCACCGGGGAGGGCCATGGCATTCTGTACCACGTCATTCATCACTCCATTCGGCTTGATCGATGCTCGGAGCAGCCGATCGAGACGAGACCACTGATTCGTTCTTGCCAGCAGTGCTAGGCTGGCAGCATGGCGTCGAGGCAGATTGCCTGTTATTCACCACGGACTATCCTGCCAGACTTGGTCTCCCGTGGTCGTTCTTTCGAGTTCGAATAAATAATGTCCTTCAATGAGGTAAAGAGAAAGCTGCTTGTTGTGTAACGCTGCTTAGAATTCACGCCAGTATGAAGCTTCCCTTGATCCCGATTTTAGTTGCATGCTTCTTTGGGGTAAGCATGTAGTTAAGCTGGTCCGTGTATAGGTTTCAATCCTTCACTGACACATCAGGGAAGCGTCGACTCCCCTTCACAGTCCCTCCAGGGCACTGACAAACTCTCGAGTGTGGATTGCAGGTGCTTTTCCTCCAATGGCTCCTTCTCGACAACGCCATCTCCATTTCTAGGTTTGACACGACGGCACCACTTGTCCAGTTTCATGCCATTCCGCGTTCACTTCGACAGAAAGTAGGTTTCGTTCAGCAGACCCCCGATGCTACTCAGGCTGATCGTCTCCTGCGCAGATCAAGTAAGCCGCCAAGCCCTCATGCGCTTGAAGCAGCTTTTAATGAGACCGTTACATGGGTGGATGAATTTGTAAATATTGGCGAAAAAACTGGTGAAATTTCACGGGTCAACAGGGAGAACGAGCTTCCCGAGTATTTCAGGTTCATAGAAGACGACCTCCGGCCATGGAGGGAGAGAGGCGGCATCCCACAGGAGGCGCTCGCTAACGCACGCGCCGTAGGAGCATCCTTCCGTGTGCTTATTGTGAACGGCCAACTCTTTGTGGAGCACTACGCGGTGAGATTACTCAACAATCGTGTCCATTCACCACGGATGATGAGGATGCAACTATTTCAGTAAGCAGCAGCTTTCTTCGTCTGTTCTGCTTGTTGAATGATTCAATTTGCCTGCGGTTTACCTCGTTTTATGTTCAGGAATGTTATCAAACCCGAGCGCTTTTCACGCTGTGGGGAATCCTCCAACTCTTGCGCAGCTACCCTCCCTGCCCAGCTTCTTCTCCCCATGCCGCTGATGCATCAAATAGTAACAGAACAGCTAAGTACGGTGTAACGATGACAGACGTAACAGGCAACGTGTCATGGTGTGTGCCTGACGTGGATCTGATGTTTGAGTGCAATGATTGGCCGCTGGTGGAGAGAGCTGTCCATGCAGATGCCGCCCACCCCCCGCCGCTGTTGCTCAAGTACTGTAGCACGGCCCGGCACATGGACGTGGTGTGGCCTGATTGGTCCTTCTGGGGCTGGTGAGTGCATCTGGAATCAGGCTATTGAAAAAATTCCGTTAACACCTGACTCTCCATGAACATGCAGCTGGCAAAATCTGATGCAATCTGAAGCTGAAGAATCCGTGCACCTTAAGAACGTAACAGTTCTGAGGCGCCACTAGTTCTGCTGGTTTCTTTTCACAGGCCTGAAGTGCGAATCTGGGAGTGGGAAACGGCAAGGAAGCTGATCAAAGAAGGCACAGGTTCGATTCCCTGGAGGGACAGAATCCCTCGTGCTCACTGGAAGGGCGCCACGTGGGTTGCCCCGGACCTCAGGGGTCATCTGGTCAACTGTAGCAGTCAGAGGGGAGGGGAAGGAGGGGAAGATAGCGAAGAGGGTGCTGGCGGAGGCGGTGGTAAGGAAGGGGGGATGGTGGGGGAGGATGCGAAAGGTCAGGGGAGTGAGGGGAAGGAGGCAGAGAGGGATTGGGGAGTGGATGCGTGGGATACGAAATGGGTGCGTGAGATTGCAGAGGAGACCACGCGATTGGAGAATCAGTGCACGCACAGGTGGGTTGATGGCAGCACAGGTGGGTTGATGGCAGCACAGGTGGGTTGATGGCAGCACAGGTGGGTTGATGGCAGCACAGGTGGGTTGATGGCAGCACAGGTGGGTTGATGGCAGCACAGGTGGGTTGATGGCAGCACAGGTGGGTTGATGGCAGCACAGGTGGGTTGATGGCAGCACAGGTGGGTTGATGGCAGCACAGGTGGGTTGATGGCAGCACAGGTGGGTTGATGGCAGCACAGGTGGGTTGATGGCAGCACAGGTGGGTTGATGGCAGCACAGGTGGGTTGATGGCAGCACAGGTGGGTTGATGGCAGCACAGGTGGGTTGATGGCAGCACAGGTGGGTTGATGGCAGCACAGGTGGGCTGATGGCAGCACAGGTGGGTTGATGGCAGCACAGGTGGGCTGATGGCAGCACAGGTGGGTTGATGGCAGCACAGGTGGGTTGATGGCAGCACAGGTGGGTTGATGGCAGCACAGGTGGGTTGATGGCAGCACAGGTGGGTTGATGGCAGCACAGGTGGGTTGATGGCAGCACAGGTGGGTTGATGGCAGCACAGGTGGGTTGATGGCAGCACAGGTAGGTTGATGGCAGCACAGGTGGGTTGATGGCAGCACAGGTGGGTTGATGGCAGCACAGGTGGGTTGATGGCAGCACAGGTGGGTTGATGGCAGCACAGGTGGGTTGATGGCAGCACAGGTGGGTTGATGGCAGCACAGGTGGGTTGATGGCAGCACAGGTGGGCTGATGGCAGCACAGGTGGGTTGATGGCAGCACAGGTGGGTTGATGGCAGCACAGGTGGGTTGATGGCAGCACAGGTGGGCTGATGGCAGCACAGGTGGGTTGATGGCAGTACAGGTGGGTCCGTTGTGGATCACACATCATACTTGTGCAAAGAGAAGCCTCACACACAGGCTTCGCCCTTGAGTATGGTGCCCTTTCGGATTTAAATCTCCTCACTTGTCGTGTTAGTTATTTTCTCTGCAATGTTGTTCCTGCTTAATGCATGGCGAGTGTAACCTTGGTTGGCAGGTACAAGGTGTATGTGGAGGGGACTTCATGGTCATGCAGTCTGAAATACATCCTCGCTTGTGCTTCCACACCCATATTCATCAAGACACAATACTATGATTTCTTTTCAAGAGGGCTACATAACGGCATACATTTTATTGAGGCACCACTTCCAAACGAATCACCCATATGCCCCAACCTCAAGGTAAGATTCTGGAGTTTGAACTGAACTTCAGCTGATGTTCCATTTTCCACTCTCCTTATATCTACATCGTCCTTGTGACTCTTTTTTCTGGGCAGCGAATTGTTGATTGGGGTAATGAGCACCCGCAGCTAGCAAAGACAATTGCAGCTGCTGCTTCAGACTTCGTGCAAGACAAGCTTTCAATGGAAAATGTGTACAAGTACATGCTTATGTTCTTGAATCAGTATGCCTCGCTGCAGCTGTTTGATCCTTCGCAGTTGCCGCGCGAAGGCATGCAGCTAGCAACCACGGATTTGCTGATGAGAGAAGCACCGGCTGAATTCAATAGTAGAGAATTTCTCAGCAGTATCTGATGTGATATGACCAGCATTCTTAGTGTAGCTTGTGATGAACTCCGGTATATTGTATTTCGAATGGTACAAGTTACGAATGTTTTTTATTGCAGAAACTCGATTCCCTGCAGGCTTATGTCGAGCATGTCTTGTGTGCACTGCAAGCTATATTTGAATCTGAAACTTGATTTCAATCCAGCCAGTGCTCGTTTTTACTCAGGCAGTTTGCTTCCGAAAGCGACCACTCTAGCTAGCCTGTAGTGACTAAATCGCCGTGCAATGGTGATGGAGAAATCAAAACGAGCGCGCGCGAGCGATGCGGGCGGGAAAGAGGCGAAGAAGGCTGCGGGGGCGAACGGACAAGCGGCGGCGACAATGGCGGAGGAGAAGCTAGCGGAATTCGTGGAGAAGATGCGGAAACTGCACGAGGAGATCGAGGAGGTCCGCATCTGACGTAGATTAGGGTTTTTTTTCCGGACTTTGCTCCCCTGGTTGTTCGCTAGCTATACTTTCTGGCGAACCCTGAACCTCGTACACACCCTGTACCCGTTATCAGATCCGCCATCATCCCGTTTGGGCAGTTTTTTTTTACTACAACTCCTTCTCGAGTTCGCCTTCCACCGTGGCCATACTTTTTCGCCTGCGCTGCGCGCTTCTTTCTCGCATGCGCGGCGCGGCAGGTGACGGACAAGGCGACCGAGGAGGTGCTGGAGGTGGAGCGCTCGTTTGTGTCACAACGCCGGAGGCCGCTGTACGATAAGCGCAAGGCCGTGCTCGATAAGATCCCGCACTTCTGGCAGAACGTGGTACGCACTCGCAATCCCGCACTGCTGCGATTGCTTCTCCAATTCGCCACCCCGCGTACCTCTGCCTGCGAGCCGACATCACGTCGTGGTTTTATTCTTCTCCCTTGTCCCCCAACCCCTCTCCCTTCTCCCCTCTTCTCCATCCCCCGCCCCCCGTTCCCGATCCCGGCTCTCCCCTCCTCCCTCTCCTCAGTCATCGTCCCCCTCTCCCCTCTCTCCCTCTTTTCCACCACCCCTCTCTTCGCATTGCCCGATTGCCCGAGGCCTCTACTTTCGGCTTCCCCTCTATCCCCACTCCCTTTCCTCTATCCCCTCTTGCCCATTCCTCCCTTCCTCTCGCCCCTCCAGCTGTGCAACTGCGGTGCGATACGGCACAGCACGGTGGAGCAGGATGTGAAGGTGTTGAAGCACCTCACGAGTCTAGACGTGGAGGAATGCAAGGAGGAGGGCGATATCGGTTACACCATCACCATGGTGAGACGTGGTTACCATGTTACTGTGTGGGAATTTCGTTAACAAGATGCGGTTACCTGATTGGTTGGAACATGGTATGTGAGGAGGAATCATGTGGCTGGCAGCACCCATCCCGCTTCAGAGCTTCTTAAAGTCTTATCAGGACCTTATCAGGACCTTCTCAGGACCTTCTCAGAACCTTCTCAGAACCTTCTCAGAGCCTTCTTGCTGGGACCCATACCGTTCTTTTCCCCATTTTCCCGCCGCTCCCATCTCCCCTCCTCACCAGACGTTCAGTCCGAATCCGTTTTTCAGCAACGAGACACTCACACGGTCGCTGATAATGCAGGATGAACTCACTCTGCGCGTCACAGGCACTCGCATCAACTGGAAGGAGGGGCAGGTGGGTTGGGAGGTGGGGTGGTAGAGAGGCTTGGGTCGGGTTTCGGGCTGCGTGTGTTGGTTGGGCTTGGGACACAGCTTTGGTCGCTGGTGATGCAGGATGAGCTCACTCTGCGTGTCACAGGCACTCGCATCAACTGGAAGGAGTGGCAGGTGCGTGGGAGGGAGGCTGGGCAGGTTTAGGATGTTGAGATGAGATCTGTCTTAGCCGCTGGTGATGCAGGATGAACTCACACTGCGCGTCACGGGCACTCGCATCAACTGGAAAGAGTGGCAGGTGGGCAGGGCAAGAGGAGAGGCTTGGGGCAGGTGGGCAGGGAGGGAGGGTGGGGCCAGGTTAAGGGTGTTGAGATGAGACTTGTCTTGGTCGCTGGTGATGCAAGATGAGCTTACACTGCACGTCACAGGCACTCGCATCAACTGGAAGGAGGGGCAGGTGCGTGGGAGGGAGAGAGGGGGAGATGGAGTGGGAGGGGAGGGGAGTGAGAGCGAGGGAGAGGTAGGGTAATGACACGATTGGAAGAGGTAGGGTGAGTGAAAGGAAGGGCAGGTGGAGCGGAAGGGGGGAGAGGGACAGGTGAGTTGGCTCCGATGCCTGTGGTGGGTTGGGTAGAGAGGGGGGCAGCTGCGGTGGGAGGGGAAGATGGGCGGGATAGATCACTTTAGGTGGATCATGAATGCGTGTGGGCCGTCGATTCGTAAATGCATGCCACATCATCTGTTATTGAGTAGCCTAACAAACATGCGCCTGGCCCTTTCCTCTCGCACCTCACAGGACTACAGTCACTACACAGCAGCAGGCATCAAGGCATATGTGGACGATGAAGAGGAGGAGGCTCACCCTTTCGCCCACATCGCTTCCTTTCTCACGCCCCTCTCCTCTCAACCCCTTTCTCACGCCCCTCTCCTCTCAACCCCTTTCTCACGCCCCTCTCCTCTCAAACCCCTTTCTCACGCCCCTCTCCTCTCAACCCCTTTCTCACGCCCCTCTCCTCTCAACCCCTTTCTCACGCCCCTCTCCTCTCAACCCCTTTCTCACGCCCCTCTCCTCTCAACCCCTTTCTCACGCCCCTCTCCTCTCAACCCCTTTCTCACGCCCCTCTCCTCTCAACCCCTTTCTCACGCCCCTCTCCTCTCAACCCCTTTCTCACGCCCTTCTCCTCTCAACTCTCACCTCGCAGGACTACACAGCAGGCATCAAGGCATATGTGGACGATGAGGAGGAGGAGGAGGAGGAGGGGGAGGAGGGGGAAGAGGGCAAGGAGCAGCTCGTCAGGTGAATTGACAGTTCGTCAGGTGAATTGACAGGTCGTCAGGTGAATTGACAGGTCGTGAGGTAATTTGGCAGGTTTCCAGGTGGTTTAAGATTAGTTGGTTCAATCGCCATGCACACCTCCCTCCTGCTGTCTTCCTACTCACCTTTACCCTCCTCCCCTCTCTTCCCCCTCTCCCGCTACACCCCTCTCCCTCCCTGAGTGCACGCGCTGCAGTTTGTTCAGCTGGATGGCATTTGACGACGATTATCCCATCTCTGCACGTGTCTTCCCACTCACCTTTACTCTCCTCCCCTCTCCGCTCCCTCCCCCGTTGCACCCCTCTCCCTTCCTGCCTCCTCGCGCTGCAGTTTGTTCAGCTGGATGGCATTTGGGGACGACGACCCCATCTCTGTCGCGAATGACGATGTGAGTGGGGAACAAGGGGAAGGGAGAGGTGTGAGGATGGGGTAGGGGGAGTGGTGTGGATGTGGAAAGGAGGATATAGATAATGGGGGGGGGGGGAGAGAGGGAGATGACCCCATTTTCGAAGGGAGGTGGGTGTAGGTAGCGCAGCTTTCGGGTTTTAGAAGGGGACTGTTCACCTGTATGCCGACACTGCGTTCCAGGGATGTCTTTTGAGACGTCTCAAAAGTCACTGCGTTCCAGGGATGTGAAGCGTGGGCCTGTTCGTCCTCACGTGTTTTGAGACGTCTCAAAAGAAGCGTGGGCCTGTTCGTCCACACGCCACACACGTGCTTTGATTAATTCCCAGTGGATCCTCAGAAACCGCTCCATGGGCCAACCAATCATACTGCCTGTTTTACAAGCGCTTTCATTGATTTCTCCAATAGATTCGCAACAACCGCTCACAGGCGCTGTTTGCGTTGCCCGTTGACCTGCAGATTGGGAATGCCATTCGGGATGATATCTGGCCAAACCCTATCAAGTACTACCACAAGGTAAGGCCATGCGCTTTGAGATGTCTCAATAACGCTTCAAAGAATCTCTCAACTACTATTACCACAAGTTAGAGTCGTGCTGCTTCTCGTTGTGTTGACCCTCATGTGTCACACCACTCCATATTTTCTCCCTCACTCTCTCAACCCTGTCTGCATACATCCCACGTATCATGCAATAGCTTTTATCAGCCGTGGTCATCAATCATGACTTGCACCCATTCTCAAAATCACTGGTATTCACATTGCTCCTTCAACAATACAGTATGAGGATTACAGCTGGATCCTCCTCCCCTCCTCTCCCTCCTCCTCTGCCTCCCCCTCACACCTGTACCTTGCAATGAAAGAAGGGAGTGCAGCCTCAAGAGGTGGTAGTGTTCATACTTCCCACCCTCTTAGTGCAATGACTAAATCCTCCCTCTTCCTCCTACCCATACCTCCCACCCATACCTCCCATCCATACCTCCCACCTGTCCTTGCCCTGGCAGGAGGGCGTGCGGCCACGAGAGGAGGTGGAGGAGGACGACGGCGAGCCTGAGTTTGGGTTTGAGTACAGCGGGGATGAGGAGGAGGAGGGGGAGGAGGGAGAGGAAGGAGAGGAAGGCGAGGAGGGCGATGATGATGAGGTACGTTGTGAGACTGGTGGGTGTGTGTGACGGTGGCAATACATGGGATGATGGATCATGGTGGGAGGGATGGGTGAGAGTAATGATGGTAACGGTGGGTGGGGATAATGATGGTAGCAATGGGTTTGGTGCGGTGGTGATGGGTGTGCTATGGTGGCAATGGTGGATGTGTGATGATGGGGGATTCACACGTGTGCTGACAGCTAGTGTCCTGCTGTGATTTGTTTTGTTTTTTTTTAATCTCAGTCATGTGACTAGTTGTTTCTCTTCCCTGCTGTTGTTAATGCTGGCTGGCAGGCAGAGGAGGCGGATGAATAAGAATCCTTAAGTGCGCACCTAGATGACCATACCTGCAGCCTTGGGTAATGGGTAATGAGTTACGGGTTAGTTTTACTAATATGGTTCGGATTACTAGCTGGAAGAGCAGCAGTAGCAGAGCAGCAGCAGCAACAAGATGCTCTGCTTCGAGCTTGAATGACACATGTACAACTATGTAGTATGTACTAGCTTTCCATCATGCATTGTGTACAGTGACCGCACAAATACAAAACAGAGCAGATGAGAATGGACAAGTAGACACGACAAAATTATCTATGTAGGTACAGAACGGCTAAATACAGGACTACACCACTTACTGCAGTAACAAACTATCCAAAAAGTCTTACCATACATCATACCTCACGCAGGTCTTTAAATTTCTAACCTTACTCCAATAAACCATCTAGGTATGATGCTCAATGCCCATAGGACATGCGCATGCCCGCATGCCCCACACCAGAAAACCCAGCAGCACCGCTACCACTGCCAATCCTGCCAGTGACTGAGAAGTTGGAAGCTCCAGAGCTGCTGGCGGGGAGGGAGAAGCTGTCCAGCGAGGCGGCTAGAGACTTCTTGGTGCAGTCGTACGGGCCCACCTCTGCCTTGCGCACCTGAGTGGTTCAGAGCGGTACGGGGGAGGGAAGAAGACGGAAGTCAACGAAAGCCATGGAGGAAATATTGTGCCCAGAATACACTCGCGAGCACCCAAAAATGCTACTCAAAAGGAAGGACAACTCACGGGTGACCAGGGGTTTCTGGGCGGTAATGGCTGCTTGGTCATCATTGGCGAGTTAAGTACCCTCCCTCCTTTCTTCTCAAGAGCAACCTGAAGCAGAGCACAACCAGAGACCAGACACAGTGAAAGCCGTGAGCAAAAGGTAGGACAGCCCAGCGTTTTTCAAGCACTTCCCCAGCAGTCACACTCCATAATGCGAAGCCATCCACCCACCCACCAGCAGTCACGCCACACACTCACCACTCCTAGCGCCTCTGCCTCCAGAACCTTCCTCATAAACGGATCTAGATCCTCCCCTTCCGCCCCCACCGCTGCCGTTGCCCGTTCCACCCCTCCCCCCTGCTTCTCCGCACTCCCAGGAGGAGTAATCTCCCCTTCTTCCTTTTCCCTCATCTCCCCTCCCCCCTGCTTCTCCGCGCTCCCAGGAGGAGTAATCTCCCCTTCTTCCTTCTCCCCCATCTCCCCTCCCCACTCCACGTCCGCTTCAGGGGACGCAGGAGCAGTGAACATGCCCCTGCCGGACGCACCAAGTGACCTGCCTCTGCTCGCACTACCACCCTTCTGAGCAAGTATGCTCCTGCTCTCGCCCTCCTGTCCCTCCTTGCCCTCTTCCTCAGCCTCAGGCGAGGCAGGAGCAGTATACATGCCCGCTTCAGAGGATGACGCTGCAGACTGCAGGCTCGTGCTCGTGACTGCTTGCTTCTGATTCTGAGGCGCCTCAGAAGGCTGCTCACTAGTGCTCGAGAGAGGTGCCTGGGGAAAATCTGGCTTGGGGAAGGCCCTTTTGAAGAGGTCTTTCGTGGCGAGGTCGGAATTGAAGAGGTCAGTCTTGAGCTGCTCTGCTTTGAACAGGCTCCTCCTGGGCAGGGTGGGGCTTTCAGCCGCTGGAGTTGGCATTGCCTCGTGGTAGCTCTCCTCCTGTTTTTGCTGCTGCTGCTCCACCTCCTCCTCGTGCTGCTGCTGCTGCTGCTGCTGCTCCGCCATTGCTGACGACGACTGGCGTATTGTGGCAGTCGCTGGCGTCCCACTTGCTGCCACGTGGACCTCCTGAGCCTTCTTGTTGGATCGCTTGGGGCTCTGCACAAGGAGAGGGGAAGATAAGTTCAGGACATGCATCAAGGCCACAAAGAACAAGACTCTCGTGAGGCACGGAGAGCATCAACCAAGCACACTCAAAAGGGGCACCATGCAAACTTCCAACAAGGAGCATGGATGCGTGAAGACAGTCCCTGTACCTTGAACAGGCTGGCGATGGGGGATCCAAGGAATCGAGGCAAGGGTGAGGTGCGCCGCTGCTTGCTGTCACCCCCTCCCTTGCTGCCTGACACGCCACCTGACGCTGCCACTCCCACTGGAGTAGCCACCGCCACTGGAGTTGTTACTGCCGTTGTAGCAACCCCTGTCACCGCTGCCGCCACTGGCACTGGCACCATAAACATCTCCCCTGGAACAGCCACGGTCCCAGCGTTCAGCTCCGACTCTTTTGGAGGGGTTCGCCTCCTCTCCGCTTGCTCACAGCCGTCGGGCGTCCCAGCAGTTTCAAGCACCTCGCCCACCCACTCGCCCACCTTCTCCGTGCTCGCCCACGCCCCCCTCTCCCCCTCCTTCTCAACCGTCTCCACACTCGCACCACTCTCCCCCGTCTCCACCTTGCCAGCCCTCCCAGGCGACTTTTGCGGAGTGCACACAACTGACCCACCCTTCTCCTTCTTCTCATTCCTCGCCTCCTCCGATTCCTCTCTCTCCCTCTCCGCCGCCACCTTCCTGGCCGATTTCTTCCACGGGCTCCCACCAGCAACAAACGCCCCAATCGCCTTCAGAGACAGCCCCTTCCTCCCTTTCTCGCTCTCGCTCCCGCTCTTGCCGCCAGGCGTCTTGAGCCCCTCGTCTGCCGCGTCCTCCCCACCCTCACCACCTCCCTGCACTGTACCAAAATCCCCTCCAACATCCTTCTCAACCGTACACTCACCCTGCTCCTCCAGCTTTTCCATCGCAACCGTCAGCACCCCCCCAGGGTGCACAGCCTGCCTCCGCTCCTCATCCTGCTGCTGCTGCTCCTCTTGTCCGTCGTTGCCAGTGCGTTTCTCTCCAGCCCTTTCCCGGCTGAGCTGCTGCCCAGCATCGCTGCTCCGCGGGGTGGACATGGCGGAGAACGCAGCATCGGCCACGGCAAGCGCGGACGGCTGCGCCACGCCCCCCGGCACCCAGTGGGTGCCGCTGCCCGCCTTCTTCTCCACCCGCGGGGTCGGCTTCTTCTGCGCGCTGCTGCCCCCGCGGGGCGTGCTGCCCGTGTGCGGCGTGTTACTCGCGCGAGGCGTGTTGGTCGCGTGTGGCGTGGTGCTGTGCTGAGACGAGCTGCTCCTGTGCGATGCATTGCTCTCTCGACTCGCTCGAGGGGTGACAGCCTGTGACACACAGCACGACACACGAATCCAGTTGAAAGCATATTAGAAACACTATCACAACGAGTCCAACAAAACAGACCAGGTTTGTCGCAAGACAGCCAGCCATTTCTCACCTCGACTTTGGTCTGGGAAGGCCCTGCGTGGGCCTGCTGCGTTTTCTGCTGACCAGCCCGCCCGTGCGTCGCCTCGACCTTACCACCCAAACCCGAACCGTGCACCACCCTCCCCCCTGCCTTCTCACTCTTCTTCCCCGCGCCAGCCTTCGCGCCGGACGAGCTCCCGCCAAACCCGAACCTTCCAGTCGCTTTCGGAACAGGAATCCTGGAGGCAAGACCCAGCAGCTTCGAGTGGTTAGCCGCCACTTTCAGCGCCGCAGCGAGAGGGGACGTCGACGCACCCGGCGCCTTCTCCCTGGCGAGAGCTCCACCCTTACTCACTTCAATCTGCTTCCCGCTCGCCACCTTGCTGTCCGCTGCCACCCGCTTCGCTCCCCCCTGCCCCGCCGCCTGGTTACCACCAAAAGCAGCCTTTTCTTTCGCTTCCTCCTCTTTCTCTTTGGTAGTTGGTGCTGCCTTCCCGCCGAGGCCGAATCCGAACCGTGCCTTTCTCGCTCCCACGCCGCTGACCCGCCTGGAGGTAGCAGCAGGCGCGCCTTTCTTGACAGCAGCACGATCATCCGCCTTTCCCGCAGTGAACTTGAGCCCAAACAGGCCACTCGCACTGGAAGCACCGGCCGCACTAGGAGCACCAACCGCTCCGCTGGTACTACCCTGTGAGGCACCTGCAGATCCCTCCGTGCTCACAGCCTTCACATCCTTGCTCAGCGTCCGCGGTTTCGCAGAAAACACTGTGCGAGCAACAGCACTCGCAACCTTCGCCGTCGCAGAGTTTGCAGCGGCGGAGAAGGCGAACCCAGCAGCAGCTGCGGCGCGGTTCGGGCCGTGACCCCCGCCATGACTCCCCACACCAGCGAACCCCATGCGTTTCCCGGCATCGGCAGACGTCCCAGTGGAGCGAGTCGACGACGTTCGCAGCACGTCCAGCCCCGACCCCCCCACGCCAGACGACGCAGCGCCGTGCACCAGCGAGCGGCTAGCGGGAACGAGACTCGTGCAGTGACTCGTGGATTTAGGCACCCCTGCTCTCGCCGCCACTGCTCCCGCACCCACACCAGGCTTCCCGCCGATGCTCGCACCAGCCCGAACAGCCGGCCTGGGGGGTCCTCCTGCGGTTGCGCTGCCTGACGGCCGGGATTTCACCGCCACAGCCTGCTGACGCTGCTGCTGCCACTCCCGCAGCTGCTGCTGCTTCGAGTCGTTCGAGCTCCGCACGCTGCTCACACTCCCACTCGAGCCTCGATGAGCAGCAGCTGCGCTCGCCTGCGGCGGCATCGGCTCCCGCGCGGCGGCAGGCTTCATCGGGGACGGCGCGCACGCGCGCATGGCCTTGGATCCGCGCCCCACCATCCCGCGCAACGCGCCTACAGGCGCATCCTCAGACTTGGCCACAATCTCCGACTCGGACGCGTGCGAATGTGCATTCCCTGCGGGCTTCTCAGCGCCAGAAGCGGCTAAAACCACCGAGTCTTCCTCCTCGAAACGCACTTCTGCCGTCGCTGTACTCTGCACATCGCGCTGGCCTTCAGTTGCCGTGATCGCGCTCTCTTTCTCCCCACTCACAGAAATCGCATGCGATTGGGCCTCATCGAGCGATTCTTTTTCTTCAGGGAGACGCGATTGCCCAGCGTCATTGGAGTCCTCAACGTCTGTGGACGACTCAAAGCGGCTGTGCAGATCCACTCTCGCCCCGCATGAGCCAACCCCCGCGCCTCCCTTACTCGAAAACTCTGACGACGCCGCCTGACGGGAGTGAGAGGAGGTACCGGACGCCGCCGCCGCCCTCTTGCTCCTCTCTGCCGTTCCCGCGTGTGAGGTGGTGCTACCGCCATGCTTCGACTGGCTGCATGACCCAACACCGCCGACAGCGCTCCCACCGCTACCTTGCTTTGCGAGCCTAGATGCGCCCACGCTCTGCTGTCGGCTTGTACCCGTCGCTGTCGTTGTCGCTGACTTGGGAGTCCTGCTCGAACTGGCGGGAGTCTTTGCGCCTGGAGCGGGGGAGTCTGCCGCTCCCTTCGCCGCCTTCGCATTTGACGAATGAAACCCTGAAGACACAAGCGACACACTTGTTGAAAAAGAAGTGGTAGGTAACGCTAGCGTAATCCATGACCATAATCTAAGACAACAAAACATAAGATAACATCATGAGCGCTTACGAGGTGCTGCGCCAGGAAGCTTGAGTCGCGTACTTGACGGGCCATGGTCCAACCCTCCCCTTGTCGCACTCTTCGGGACATTCACGCAGTCGCTCGCGCTGCTCTTCTCTACAATGGCCGCTACTTTCTGCTCGCTCGTCATTCTCTGCTGCTCGCTCGTCGTCCTCTGGTGGTCGGCAGCACCAGCTAATTCACTAGTACACATCGCGTCTTGATCATCCTTCGGAGTATTGGCGGATTCTTTAGCAGCGGTGTCTCCGGAAGGGGCGGCGGCATACATGGGGAGAAAAGACAGGTCGACCGGAGGGAGAACTGGCGCAAGCTGGCCATCGTCGTCGTCGAGGTCTAGAAGCGACTCTGCGCATAACGAAGATAGAAGCAGGAACTGTGTTGTTATTATCGCGTGCACGAACGCTGAGCGACATGGGTTTGAAGGGCGATTCTGGAATGAGCTTCATCTGATTTAAATCCTGGCTTGGGAAGCACGAACCTGCGTTCTTGTTGAAGAAAGCCTCGTTCCAGGCAGCGCTGACGCGACGATCCTTGCGCACGGATTTCGGCTCAGGAGTCTGAATCTTAGCCAGTGCTGCAGAGGCGCTTGGGTCGGAGCCAGAGCCGCTTGGATCGCTCATCTTGGAGACTTCCTTGGATGTGTCATTCTGAGGGTCTTCAGGCCAATCGATGTCGGTCATTCGCTCCATGATAAAACTGTCATCAATGACTTCGCCGTGCAACTCGTCATCATTCAAAAGTCCTGCATGTCAGAAATATGAAAGGTAAGTCTTCTTTTCCCTAGAATACTGATTGCTTGTACGGATAGATTAGACACCAGGGTTTGTATCCCACCTTCGTCTTCCAGGAACGCGTTGTTCCATGGCAGGCTCTGTCGTGCGACGCTCCGTCTGCTCTTCCTCCGTGCAGCCGTCGGTGTCGGAGCGAGCTTAGACGCAGCGTTGACGTTAGCTGAAACTGGAATGCTGACGTTATTCTCATTGTTCTCCACTAGATTGAAAGTAAGATGTGAGGAGTGATTTAGATTACCAGCACCAGTTTTTTCCTGCTGCACGCTGCCATGTATGATGTCACCTCCGCCAACAGTTTCGTTTAGAATTCGCTTCTGAGGTCGCAACGGGGTAATTGCGAAGTCAAATCGACCTGGGAACTTCTGATTCGCCTCATCTGCATATCAACAAGACATACTCAGTTAGTTTCCTTTACAGAAAGTCACCAGTTAACTCATAAAACGAACGAGGAGGGTACGATAGGTAGCACTAACCAAAAGCTGATAAGGTGTTCAGGCTGACGTTTCCTAGAATCAAGTCGTCCGTCTCCATTGCTGATCGCAAATATACACCACACTGGAAGGCTATGAAATCTAGTAAAATATCCGACGAGATGTCAGATCGATTCGGTAATACCTATGAAGTGATCGCAACTAGGACAAACTTTGCTAGACAATGGCTTCGGCAGGCTAAGACACAGCGGACTATACTCCAACGTGAACAGTCAGTTATGCCCTCGAGATTGTCTAACAGTTCGCCATGGAATGACCTTGGGAATTGGGATGAGATTGCTTGTGGTTTGGGTATCAGCAGCGTGGGGGGGAGAGCAAGGTGAAGTGCTTTTTTGGTTGCAGGTTTCAGGCGGTTCGGGTCAGTGAATGAGTCTGTCACAAATTTGGCGGGACATTTGAAATCCTCGCTCGAGGTGCGAAGCGACAGGTGGGGAAATGATATCAACACAATATCATTCTCGAAAAGCCACTACACATCTTTCTCACATTCATTTTCACATATACTCGTTTCCCGTACACAGCTCGTTTCTCCACTACTTGTCAAAATGGCTGCCGCTGATCCTGCTCCAGCGCTAGTGGCTCTGGACAATGCGATCGCGCAGATCGACCTCCTCATCTCCCGCCTCACCCCGTCGTCCGCCTCCTCAGCTGACGTTCCCGTTGCCGCTCAGCCGAAAGCTTCAGTAGCTGAAAGCAATGGCGAGAAGCAGTCGTCAGAAAAAGGGAAAGCAAAAGCTGCGAAACCAGGTGATTTATACTCTGCAGAACCGAGGAACTCCGCATATGCTCCCGCTGAACATCATAGATCGTAGTTCGCCGTTGTCTTTCTGTGATGTTTTTCCTCATTCGTTTGGCTGATCCTTCTGATACTCCGTTCCCTCTCCGCCAGCAGCGCAATCATCAGCTGCTCCAGCGTCAGCGGGGGAGAGCGTAGAGAATTTCGACAAATGCGACATCAGGGTGAGCGTCGAGCGACAAACTTTCGTTAGATCGGCAAACGTCGTCAACAGATGCCTTCTCCTCTCGCTGTTACCATATTCCTGGCCGTTGGCGAATGACTATTAATGCGAACTTGCAATCTGCGTATCCTGGATAACTTCAAAAGAATAACGCGCCGTCACCCAACTGTATGAGGAGATGCAGTTGAGGCACCTCACAACACCTTTTCCCCTTCCTCCGCCTCTCCTCTCCCCGCCCGCAGGTGGCGCGGGTGCAGGCAGTGGAGCCCCACCCGGTGGCGGAGAAGCTTTACGTCTGCCAGGTGGAGGTTGCGCCGGGGGAGGTCCGCCAGGTGAGTAGCGCCAGCACTGCGTATTACTTCCTCGCATAAACGTTTGCGCTCCTCTCTCCATCAATTGTTCCCCCTCTTCTGCTGCCTCAGCCGCTTTACCTCGTGCATGCAACATGCACGCACCTGCCTTTCCCTATGCTCAACTGATCCCTGAGGCTCGATCTCTTCTCCTCAAACAACTATCTTCTGCTCACCTGTATCCGTGTGAACTGAACCCCTCCAGGTGGTGGCTTTGAGGTGACTTTTGAGGCGCCTCAAAACTCAATTTCTTCTCTTCAAACAACTATCTTCTGCTCACCTGTGTCCGTGTGAACTGAACCCCCTCAGGTGGTGGCTGGTCTGAAGAAGTTCATCTCGCAGGAGGAGCTGCAGGGGCGGCTGGTGTGTGCCGTGTGCAACCTCAAGCCCGCCAAGCTGGCCGGCCAGCCCAGCCAAGCCATGATGCTCGCTGGCTCGCACCCCTCTGCTGAGGCTGAGGCCGGGGAGGTTGTCAAGGTGAGCAGGCCTGGGCGATGACTTACTGAGTAAAAATAACACTTCTGGCTTCACCGTGATTTTTTAGGCGCCTTTGGCTGAGGAGGGGCTGTGAAGGTGAGGAAGGAGGAATAGGTTATGCAAGCATGTGTCTGTGGCTGTCCAGCACATGGGTCGCGTTGCGCGCTTTTTGTGTTGATGCGTCTGAAGCCCACTCCACTGTGCACTCTATCTTCTACTTCAGTCCCCTTACTCCCTCATTCATTTCTGTACACCCGTTTCATCCCATCACCCAACTTTCCTTCTCAACAGCTCATTGATCCGCCCCAAGATGCAGCAGTTGGTGATCGAGTCTGCATCCAGGTAGACACCTGCGACCACTCCCCGTGCCTATGTGCCCTGCTCATGCCTGTATGCCTTCCTGCGTGAGCTGTAGCATGGATGCAAGCTCACATGTGCATCCTTTTATGCATGCCCATGTATCCCCCAATGTGCGTGCTTACTTCATACCCATATGCATGACCTTTCGGTTTGCCTCATGCCGATCATCCAGTCTGCCTCATGTGCAAGCCAACCCCATCCACCAACCCCATGCCCATCGTATTCCACTTGCTTTTGCCATGGTTCACAGGTTATTTAAGACTCTCCCTGAATTTTCGTTGTTCTCCTGTCTTAATCTCCCTCGCGTTTCATTCACCCCCCCTGCAACCCCAGGGCCGACCTGCGAGTGCAGCCCCGGTGAAGCAGCTCAGCTCCAAAGTGTGGGAGAAGGTGGCAGGGCTGCTTCGGGTGCAAGGTGGGTACTATAATCCTGAAATAACAAATGTTCCTATTCACACTTTGTCATCTTTCGCTAAGTCCCCGTTCATATGTATCTGCTAATTTATTCAAACTCGTGTGATGTGTTGTGTTTTGTTCCCCAGGAGGAGCTGCTATGTTTGATGGGCAGGCTCTGGTCACAGGGGCGGGCGGAGGCATCACTGTGCAAGGCCTAGTTGATGGCAGTGAAATTCACTGAACTGAGAGAATTACGGTCGGATTGGGTCGCACATCACCTTGTATGTTTTAGCTAGAATAGCTAGCTATTCATATTCATGTAAAATCAAATTATGCTCTAGCTGGATTAGCTAGCTATTGGTGTGCATGAAAAATCGTTGTAGAAATGAGTGAGTCGCGCTGACTGAAGCACGGTAATTATCTTCCATTGGTACTTTTCATGCCTTGCTGGAAAAGTGCGAGGACATCCCAAGATTCCCCGCATTACCGTTGCTGATTCGAGCAATTCTGCTTCAATCGTGTCGACCAGTTTACATCAGATGGTCTCTCCCCCATTGAATAAATGGTTCATGCTTGAATAGAATAGGTACCATTCCACATTGTTCCGAAGCAACCTACTCCGTGGATCCATTACAAGTGAATGAGCGATGACGCTGGTTAATTTTCTAACGGGGTCACGCGTCGTCCTTCCATTCAACCACACCAGCTTGCGTCACCACGGGAGCTTGTCAACTCGCGGGTTACCATTTCGCCGCGACGATGCGACGGCACTCTCCGCAATCTCGGGAATCTCCCAGAATGGCCGTTCGCTCGCCGTGACTGCGCGGTTCAGTCGGGACCGATCCGACGAGCGGCGAAGGGGGAATGCCACTGTTAGAGACGACTTAGCTCCAGGGGTGAGCCGGGCTCGGAGAGAAAATGGGGAATGGAGTGAGAGCGAGAGGCGTTTTGCTGGTGAGAGCAGGGGGAGGGGAGAGGGAGAAGATCAGAGGAGTACGGTGAGGGGAGATGGTGGAAGAGTTGGTCCCGAAATGGGTGGTGATTATAGGCGGAGTGCGTATAGAGGGGTGGAGAGCGATGGAGGGGAAGGTCGTTGGGGGGGCAGAGGAAGGGGTGGTTTAAGCGGGAGAGAGCGAGGGGAGAGGGACAAGGGGGGACAGGCGCGGGAGGGTTCAGGGTTCGGGGACAGAGGGGGGTTTAGCGATGGCGATGGCGATGAGAGGGTTCGTTATAAGGAGGACCGATATGCGTATGGAAGTGCGGGTCGAGAGGGGTATGGGAGGGAGCGAGGAGTTAGGGGATATGGAAGGGGAGAAGGGTTGATGGGGATTGATGAGGCAAGGAGAAGCGGGAACGAGAGGCGAGAGGCGTATGGGGATGAAAGGGAGCGGTTCCCAAAGGGTTCAGAGCGGTACCAGGGGGTAAGAGAGCGGTACTCTGGGTATGGCAGGGAGAGTGGGGGGCGAGGAGGCGGAGAGGGAGAGAGGGTGTATGGGGGAAGGGGTGGGCGGAGGATTGAGGAACGGTGGGGCGAATCAGGGGAGAGTGGGGTTGAGCGGAGCGAGAGGTCGGGGGATGGAAGGAGAGAAGGGGGAGGTGGGGAAGGGAGGAGGGGTTATGGGGAGAGAGAGGGGGTCGATTATGGGAGGAGAGATAGGGGCGGTTATGGGGGGACAGAGAGGGCGGGATATGGAAGGGGGGACAGGGGCGGGTATGGTGGAAGGGGCAGAGGGTCGTATGGGGGGAGCGAGAGGAGTGTTTATGGGGGGAGCGAGAGGAGTGGTTATGCGGGAAGGGAGAGGAGTGAGTATGGGGGAAGGGAGAGGAGTGAGTATGGGGGAAGGGAGAGGAGTGAGTATGGGGGAAGTGAGAGGAGTGAGTATGAGGGAAGGGAGAGGAGTGAGTATGAGGGAAGGGAGAGGAATGAGTATGGAGGGAGGGAAAAGGGTGACTATGGAGGGAGGGAGCGGAGCGAGTATGGAGGCAGGGAGATGGGCGGATTAGAAGAAAGAGGGAGGGAGGGGTACAGGGGAAGAGAGAGGGATGATAATGGGGTGAGAGGGAGAGGTAGGGGGGATTATCGGGAAAGAGGGAGGGGCGACTATGGGAGTACAGGGAGGGGCGACTTTGGCAGGAGAGGAAGGGGTGGTTACGGGGGAAGAGGGAGGAGTGACAGTGGCAGGAGAGCAGATACGCAGTCAGACTTCCATCGCCGTCCTCGCGAAGAGGAACGAGGGTGGGGGAGGGAGAGGCTTGAGGGACAGCAGCAGGAGAGGATGTCAGATGTCAAGGCGAATGGAGTGCAGGAGGGGTATCTGTCAACGGATAGGGACTCACAAGGGGATGGGCATTGGCCCAAAGAGGGGCATTTACCGACAGAGGGGGTGATTAGACTTATGAATGTGGATGTGCCGTTGCATGCCGACCCTGGCAAGGATGACGTGGCAGTGAGTGAGGGGCTGGTGCGGGCGGCAGCTATGGCGCTGCACGTGCGGGCGGAGCACCTGCCCTCGTCTGCTCTCACGGTCGTGCGCAAGTCCTTTGATGCCCGCAAGGTGCGTTGGGGTGGGTTGTATGCATTGCAAGGTGCGTTGGGCTGGGTTGTATGCATTGCAAGGTGCGTTGGGGTGGGTTGTGTGCATTGCAAGGTGCGTTGGGCTGGGTTGTATGCATTGCAAGGTGCGTTGGGGTGGGTTGTATGCATTGCAAGGTGCGTTGGGGTGGGTTGTATGCATTGCAAGGTGCGTTGGGGTGGGTTGTATGCATTGCAAGGTGCGTTGGGCTGGGTTGTATGCATTGCAAGGTGCGTTGGGGTGGGTTGTATGCATTGCAAGGTGCGTTGGGCTGGGTTGTATGCATTGCAAGGTGCGTTGGGGTGGGTTGTATGCATTGCAAGGTGCGTTGGGGTGGGTTGTATGCATTGCAAGGTGCGTTGGGCTGGGTTGTATGCATTGCAAGGTGCGTTGGGCTGGGTTGTCTGCATTGCAAGGTGCGTTGGGCTGGGTTGTATGCATTGCAAGGTGCGTTGGGGTGGGTTGTATGCATTGCAAGGTGCGTTGGGGTAGGGTGCAAGGCCCTTCACCCTCTCCCTCTCTCCATCTTTCACTCTCTCCCTCGCCCATCCCATCCCCACCTCCCTCACGCACAGGCCCCAGTGTTCGCCTATGCCATTGACATTGATGCAGCAGCACTGGTGCAAGCCTTCACCCTGTCTTGCTCTCCCACTCTTTCACCCTCTCCCTCCCCCACCCCCATCCGCCCCTCCTCGTTCACAGGCCCCTGTTTTCGCCTATGCCATTGACATCGATGCAGCAGCGCTAGCGCAGGCCTTCACGCTCTCAGCCACGCCCCCTCGCAAGCGCAGAGACGTGGCCCTTAAAGCCCAGGTCGTGTTGCCTGAACCGCCCTTCAGCCTTCTCGCTGCCCGCACCCCTGCTGCTGCGCCCCCTGCTGCTCCACCTGTTGCTGCCCCTGCTGCTGCTGCTTCCGCTGCTGATGGTGCTGGTGCTTATACCAGCAGCAGCACAGGTGCTTATACCAGCAGCAGCACAGGTGCTCCCACTGGAGCAGGGGGGGCGAAAGGCAAGCCACCGAGAGAGCGAACGCGCAACGTAGTGGTGGGGATGGGTCCAGCGGGGTTGCTGGCAGCTCTCGTACTGGCAGAAGCAGGCGAGCAGGTGACAGTGGTGGAGCGGGGTCAGCCCGTGGAGGAGCGAGGGCGGGACATCGGCGCTCTAGCCGTGCGCCATGTGCTCAACCCAGACAGCAACTTCTGCTATGGGGAGGGTGGGGCTGGGACGTGGAGTGACGGCAAGCTGACGACTAGGATCGGGAAGAATAGTCAAGATGTTAGGGAGGTGCTGAATGTTCTGGTGAGGCTGGGTGCTCCCGAACGTATTCTTGTGGACGGGCGCCCGCACCTCGGCACCGACAGGCTCGTGCGCATCCTGCAGCAGTTCCGGGCCTATTTGTTAGGTTTGGGCGTGGAGATCAGGTTCGGAACGGTGGTGGAGGATCTGGAGGTTCGGAACGGGCGGGTGGCGGGGGCGCGAGTGAGGCCGGCTGGGAGTGCGGTGGGAAGCGGTGCAGAGGGGCGGAGTGTGATAGCAGCGGATAGGGTGCTGCTGGGGGTGGGGCACTCAGCAAGGGCGGTGTTTGACATGCTGCTGTCTCACAACGTGCTGCTCTCCCCAAAGGACTTTGCAGTAGGCTTTCGTATCGAGCATCCCCAGCAAGAGATCAACGCCATCCGGGTAAGGCTTTTGAGGTGTCTCAAAGGGGCGGTGTTTGACTGCTGGGGTTGGGGCACTCAGCAAGGGCGGTGTTTGACATGCTGCTGTCTCACAACGTGCTGCTCTCCCCAAAGGACTTTGCAGTAGGCTTTCGTATCGAGCATCCCCAGCAAGAGATCAACGCCATCCGGGTAAGGCTTTTGAGGTGTCTCAAAGGGGCGGTGTTTGACTGCTGGGGGTGGGGCACTCAGCAAGGGCGGTGTTTGACATGCTGCTATCTCACAACGTGCTGCTCTCCCCGAAGGACTTTGCAGTGGGCTTTCGTATCGAGCATCCCCAGCGCGAAATCAACGCCATCCGGGTATGCGGGCTACGTCATATTCACTGTTCAGTTTTGTTTTGACCAGCGCTAGCGATGGTAAGGCATCACCCTTCTCCATCTCTCCTTTCCCCGCTCTCCCCCCGCCAGTACCGGCGGTGGCAGGGCAGCATGGACGTGCAGGCAGCAGTGGCGCGCGGCAAGGGACCCATCCCCGTGGCTGACCACTCCCTCGCCGGTGGTGGAGCAACCCAGACAGCACACACCTGAGTGTCTTGCAAGGCCCCTTGCCCCAACACAACACAACACAACACCCATGATTCCCCCTCCCCCCTCCCCTCACCCTGCTCCCCCCCGGCAGTACCGGCGTTGGCAGGGCAGCATGGACGTGGAGGCGGCAGTGGCGCGCGGCAAGGGACCCATCCCTGTAGCCGACTACTCCCTCGCCGGCCAGTTCTCCCTTACTGGCGGCACCACTAGCAGTAGCAGCACTGGCAGCAGTGATAGCAGTGGCAGTGGGCAGCAGGGGCGCAGCTGCTACTCGTTCTGCATGTGTCCGGGAGGGCAGGTGGTGTGCACGAGTGTGACAGCAGACGAGCTCTGCCTCAACGGCATGTCCTTCTCCAACCGCTCCTCCCTCTGGGCCAACGCGGCCCTCGTCTCTTCCGTGTCTGCTGCTGGTGGCGACTTTGACGAGTTCACAAGGGAGCACGGCGCCCTTGCAGGCATGGAATACCAGGTATGTTGGAGCCTGGCAAGGAGGGAGGGCAGGTGGTGTGCACGAGTGTGACGGCGGACGAGCTGTGCCTCAACGGCATGTCCTTCTCCAACCGCTCCTCCCTCTGGGCCAACGCTGCATTGGTGTCCTCCGTCTCCGCGTCTGCTGGCGACTTTGACGAGTTCACCCGGGAGCATGACGCCTTAGCAGGCATGGAGTACCAGGTACGTTGGAGTGGTTTCTGAGATGTCTCAAGGAATGGTGGGTGTGCGGCTGGGGTGAGATGTCTCAAGGAATGGTGGGTGTGCGGCTGGGGTGGTGGTGGGGAGGGAAAATAAGGCAGGCATTTGGTTGTGCGTGCAAGTTCCATCTGCCTGGCGCCCAAAGGGACGCCTGTGAGTTTGTGTGGTGTGAGGGCGCAAGCGGGAGTTGCATGACAAATCGGAAACACCATGCCTTGAAACCGCAATACACTGTGCAAACAGGTGAAGGCCCGTTGTGCAGACAAATGAAGTGTCATGGTGCCCTGGTACAGTTTTGAGACGTCTCAAAACGTGCCCTGGTTGGTACCTGCCTGATATCCCTCTTCACCATTCCTGCCTCTCCGCGTCTCCTCATGTTCACCCACCGCCTTCCCAGAGGGCAATCGAGCGGCAGGCAGCCGTGATGGGAGGTGGCAACTTCGTGGCACCAGTGCAACGCGCCTCTGACTTCCTTCGAGGGTCTCTCTCCCCTGGTGAGCAATGGGCATCGCTCCCCAGGAGGGTAGCTCCCTCCTAGAGACACGACACACTCCCTGTCACCCTGAGCGGGTCCTATGTGTTGCCCATGGAGACACACTCTCCCATGGAGACACACTCTCCCATGGAGACACACTCTCCCATGGAGACACACTCTCTCAGCTCATGCGTCCCTCTGTGCTCTCTTTCTTTTCCTCTCGTCTTTGCCGCAAGAATTCGACCTGCCTGCTTCCCACTTCCGCAATATTCTCCTCCACCATCCTCCCCCGCCTCCCCCCCAGTCGATCGCATCGAGAGCGACATTAAGGCGATCCTCCCTTCCAAATCTTCCCACCGTCCTTCCTCCCTGCTCACCGCAACCATTCCCACCGTCCTTCCTCCCTGCTCACCGCAACCATTCCCACCGTCCTTCCTCCCTGCTCACCGCAACCATTGCCTGGGAGTGGCGCCCAGCTTGGCTGGAGTCTTGATTAACACAACCCACCCTCCTCACACCTATACCCTTCAATTTCCCCTCTCCCCCACCATCCAGCTATGGCCAAGACGTGGCATCAGCTCATTCGTCCTTCCGTGACCCCTCCCTCTCCCTCTTCCCCTTCCAGCGTCCGCCCTGCCATCATCAAGCTATCGCCTGGGAGTGGCCTCGGCCCGCCTGGACCAGCTCTACTCGCCCTCCATCACGCTTGCCATCCGACTCGCTTTAGAGAACTTCGATAAGAAGGTGATGCACATTCCTTGTTTCACTGCGTCCCCATGCATGCATCCCCCCTTGCACTCCCCTTGGTCTTCCACCCTCTATTTCCTCGGTCTAATCTTGCCAGTCATCTCGGTATCTCCCCGCCTTTCCCGTTTTCCCATCTCCCTGCCTCTCTAACCTTCCACCCTTCACCCACCAGATGCCTGGATTCATCTCCCCACACGCCCTGCTACATGCTGCCGAGGTGAGACTCTTGAGTCGACTCAAACGTCATGCTGCCGAGGTGAGACTCCTTACCACTAGGCTCCCTACACTGGCCTGTTATTGAGTCGACTCAAAAACAGTCTCCCCCACACGCCCTGCTACATGCTGCCGAGGTGAGATCAATACCGGTAGCTTCCCTTCAGTGGTTCATTGTGGTTCATGCGTTACTTTTGAGTTCTGAAGCGTGGATCCGAAATCGGAGTGGTTCATTGTAAGTTATTGTACCTGACAAACAGGCTGCTAGTAACTTACCCTACTTTGCCTCCTCTCCTCCTTTCCCCTGTCTCTTCCCCAGACGCGCACGAGCTGTCCAGTGCGCGTGGAGAGGGGGGCAGAGAGCTATGAGAGTGTGTCACTGCCAGGGCTGTACCCGATAGGCGAGGGGGCGGGGTACGCAGGGGGCATTGTGAGCGCTGCAGTGGATGGCATGTTGGCTGCTCGAGCCATCCTCCGCACCACTGCTGCTGCTTCTTCTGAACTGACTGAAAAGTAACTTGGGGGTACGCACGGAGCGGGGTACGCAGGGGGCATTGTGAGTGCTGCAGGGGATGGCATGCTGGCTGCTAGAGCCATCCTTCGTACAGCTGTGACTTCTGAAGTGACTGAACAGTAACCTTGAGGTTCACATATGCTGCCTTCCTTCGTCCTGTCCAGTCTAACCAACTGTATGTCCAGTTACCTTGGTTGGCAACTATAAGCAGCTGCTTTGCCCCTAACATGTAGTACTGCTGCATGGTTTCAACGAGTGTACCAGGAATAAGTGGTCACTGTTTTATTCATTTATTCTGCTGATATACAGGCATACATTAATGAAAGAATCATGCTAGCTAACAGCATGCCTACCTAATACATATCTTTGTTATATATAACATTATATGACAATGCTACCATCTTCCTGTAGAATGTAGGAGCTGGAATATTCCAGTCCTTGTAATACGTTTGTACTGACACCGGCATGGTCCCAACTCTCGCTCTTGGACACGAAACAAACCCCTTGTGCTTCTTATACACTATCGAGTCCGCTTTTACCCCATAATCCCCTTTACTATAATCGCGAAACCGCATTTCATCACCAGTGTACCTGTAGAGCACCTGCCGGTTCACCTTCCGGGCGGCAGGCACCCGCCCGCAGTACCGGTACTCGTCCGGGCGGCTTGTGTCGGCATCTACTGCGATGAGCTCGACGTCGTTTTCGGTGGGCAGGCCGCTGCATGCGCCGGTCTGCTTGGAGGTGAGAGCTTTGTGGCCTGCGGGGTTGCAGGACTGCGTGCCGATGCGTGTCTGCCTGCACAGATGCTTCATCCACGGCCATAGCTGGTGGGGGAAATGGGGGGAAGATGGAGGGAGAGATGAGGGGAGAGATAAGGGGAGAGATGAGGGAAAAGCTGCTGAGGTAAGAGCTGAGGAACTGGAGAGGCGGCAAGAGGTGGGGAGAAACGGGGAGAGGTGAGAGGAGAGATGGGGAAAGAGATGGTGAAGAGTTGAAGGGAGGTGGGGAAGGGGGGAAGGAGGAAAAGCCTCACCTTATTGATCTCCGGGGAGTTGTAGTAGCGCTTGCGCATCCTCTCCCAATAGGTCCCAGGGTCCTTCCCACAGTGGTTGATGGTGACTGTCAGGCAGGTAATATAGCCCGGGCTCTGCCCCAGGCTGACCATGAGCAGGCTGCGGATCTTGTTGCGCTTGCCGTTGTTCAGCTTCACTCCGTCCCACAGCTGCGCACACACGCCCCCTGTGATGTCCACTCCTGATGTGCAGTAGTCCAGGTAATAGCAGTGGTCCCCGCCTATCACATAATTGCAGGCCACTGTGCTGCCTGTGGAAAGGTAGGGTGGGGGATGGATGGAAAAGGGTGAAGGGCAGGAATGAGTCAGATTACCCACAGCTGAGTGAACACGCCCAGAGTAATTAAGTGCCACCAGCCGGAATTGAACCTGCATCGGTCGCCACTTACCAGGGTTGAACCAGTGAGTGCAGAAATAAATCCCGGCCGAGTCAAACGTCAGGCGGCCCTTGGACTGAGGCGTGAAGACAAAGTTGTTCTTCACTGACGTCAGCATGCAGTCCCACGAGTAGTGCACGTCAGCGCCGCACCGGAACCCCGCAAACAAATAATCATGCAGGAAATTATTATGCACCTTCACGCCGATCGACCCGCGGTAGAGGTTAATCAGCTCCCACGCGCCAAAGACATCATTATTGGTGATCACATTCTTGGAGGAAACCAGAGTCATGCCGAGCCCGCACATGCCCATGCGGATCACTCCCGGTGACCTCTCGTACGTCCCAGGGGCGGTTACAAAGAGTGAGTCCAGCTTGGTGTAACCCGATCGGAAGACGTCGATTCGGCCGATCACGGAAGCCTGGGTGAATTGAATCCCGAACGAGCGGTAGATGTGGAGCGCCGGGCAGATGATTTCAAACCCCATCAGGCTGCCGTATTCGGGCAGCATCTCGCAGAAGGGCGAGGAGTTGCGCACGGCGCTGCGCAGCCCGATGCCGATGAACAGGACGTTGCTGGCGTTGTGCACTCTTAGCACGGGCTCATCGGAGCGCGAGAGGGAGATGGAGTGGCGCGAGGGCAGCGAGCGGGACCGGAAGATGGTGCAGGAGAAGTTGGTCCCGAAGAGGAGCCCGCGGGAGAGGGAGAGCGAGCGGTAGAGCACGAGCGTGACGGTCTGCCGGGGAGGGTATCGCGTGCGCTTAGCGATGTCGGACACTGAGTAGACTTTGATCACCGGGCTGCTGTGCCGCGGGGAGCATGGCTTTGCTGCCGCCTTGGGAGTGACGGCTCCCTTGGGATTGACGGAGGCGATGGTGGCCTTGAGATTGTTGGGAGTGTTGGGGTGGGCGGCAGTGGCGGTGGCTTTCAGGCGCTGCCAGGAGAGTGTGCCGCCCGGCATCATGTCATCCATGTCGTCTTCTGTCATCACAGCAAACCGCCCTGCCGCCCCTGCCGTCCCTGGCGTCCCTTCCGCCCTCTCCCGCCCCTGCGCTGCTGCCGCCCATTTGCTCCTCGCCTCTGCCGCCCACACCGCCTCCTTGGCTTTAGTCACTTGATTCATCCGTTTCGCCTGCTGCTGCCACTGCCGCAGCCTGGTCTTAACTAGCCCTTGCTGCTGCCGCCAGTGCTCCTCCTGCATCGCAATCTCCTCCGCCGTCTGCGGCCGTTGGTCCCGCTCCCACCGCTGCTGCTCCCGCTTCGCCCACTCCGGCGCTTCTACCTGCTTCTGCTGCTTCCCCCCCTGCGCCCCCCACTGCTGCACTCCTTGCTGCTGCTGCTTGAACTGAAGGCTCGCAGTCCGTGCGTGTTTCTGCGTGCGCCGCTGCACCTGCTGCTGCCACTGCTGGTGCCCGGACGGCCTGTGAGAATACCTGGGGCCATATATCCCGGTATCATAAGGTCCTGCTTCCTCCCACAGCTGTCGCTTCGTCCTGCTTTCCTCCTCCTCCTCCCCTTGATCCTGGTCCCCCACTTCCTCTTCCTGTTGTTGTTCGTCTGGTCTGTATCGCCGGTCCTGTACTACTGTATTGGTAATCAGCCCGTCCGAATGCGGCAATTGCGGCCCTTCAAACACAGAGGGAAGTGGATTTTCCCCTTCCCCTTCCCCTTCCCCTTCCCCTTCCCCTTCGCCATCGCCCGCCCCCACGTCCTCCGCCAGTTCCTTCCACCTCTCCTCTTCCGCCTCATCCCTCTCCGCTGCCTCTACCGCGGCCTCGTCACCGCACAGCGCCGCATATCCCCGCACAGCGCCGCCCTCTGCCGATCGTTTATCACAGATCGGGCCATCGCGTATCCCCCGACCACCTGGCGGTGTCCCTGTGCGGTTCGTGCGTCGGGGCAATGAAAAGACTCCGGAAGTTGTGGATCCGCGGAAGATAGCGCGCAAAATCCCTGCGGTGTCGGGCAGGCGGCGGAGCTCACGGGGAATGATCGGCGGATGTGCCGCTGCAGCGGAAACTCCCACAAGAGCCGCGGCGTAACACAGCGACAATAAAAGCGCCGCCGCGATGAGCGGTGGTAATAGCGCCTTCCCTGTGAAGACGACGCGCCGCATCTGATCGATATGGGGATGGCTTGAAACTGTTTCGACTTGGAACGAAAATATATGTATTGGTCGCTACAATTTAAACAAACTTCTGGTACGCGGCGTATCGGCGATAATTACAAAGGTTATGATATAGGTACGCACGAAAAGAGACAGACGGAAACCCAAGTGAAAGAACAAGCGTCGAAGCTTGGTCACGATGCTTTGTAGAAGTCGTCAGGAATGCACTCAACGGAATGAACACGACGGTTGCACCTGCCAAACATTTCTGGTCCACAAATGCGAACACGAGAGAAGGCGCACAAACACATGCATGCGCTGAAGTTGGAACAAAAACGCTGCCCTGCATTGCCGCGTTGCCCCCATTTCAACCCCCCTCTCTCGCTCAGCAACGACACTCCAGCACTCCCTCCCCCCAAAAAACATGTTGACTCATTGAACCTGTTGCGTTGGCCCCATCTGTCGGTGCGGGCAAACAGAAAAATGCACCAGGTCTGCCCAGCCCTCAGAAACTTCGCAAAAACTGGTTGGTGAGGCTGTCTCCTCGGCTGTCTGTGGTTGTTCTCACTACTTTCCGCTTGCCCGTTTTCCGCATGACCGGGTCAGCACTTTCTTCCCGTGCCGCACACGGAGTGCCGGGCACCAGGAAGAATTACCTGCCCGAGTGGTTTAGTTGAAGTCGGTGCTGTCATGCCAAACCAGACTCGCGAGTTCGACACCCCACGATGGTCGACATGTTCCATGCGAACAAGACTACGTCGTTCGTCGTGCAATGGCGAAGACTGGCGAGGGTTACCACGACAAGTGGTACTGTGCAGTCCAGCGCTTCAGGTAGAACCACAGATTTGCCCGGTCAACGTCAGCGCCGCCTTGGACCTCGTTGACCCCTACATGCTTAATGCACAAAAATGACTGGTAATCCCTACAATTACTGGGACATTATGAACAACACTTACAGAGGAAACAGAAATGATAAAAAACCATCAATATATTGTTAGAAGGTACAGCTAACCAAATCAGACAGCTTCAGCCAGCCACAGCCCACTACACGAATAAAGCATCTCTCTACAAAGAGCTACGACATGCAATGCTCCCTATTCTGCAACCGGCAAATCATGAAGCTAGAAACGAACAAGCGGTGGTTAGGCACATCTATACAAAACAAACTACACAAGATCAGAATTCTCCTGTCCAAGCCTACACCGCCACCAACACGGCGACCCACGGTCAAGAATTGGCAGGGGCGCCATCGGTGGGGCCTCCAGCCAAGTCGATTTCACTGAGCTTGAGCAGGGCACGCAGAGAGGAGCGGCTCTTAGAGAAGTGGCGCAAACTGCCCCTGAGGTCCGTGCCCTTGCGCATCATCACCTTGAACTCATCAAAGCTGATCTTGCCGTCCTGGAGGAAGGAGACATGGGAGTGAGGGCAGGGATAGGAGAGGGGAGCACAGAGAGGAGTGGGGAGCATAGAGATGAATGAATGAAAAGTCACTGCTGAGGTGTGAAGAGATGACAATAATAGCCTTGTGAGCATGTTGTTGACGGGCTATGGCCTTATTACTGTCATGTGATGTGCATATTGTTGACATGCCCTTTTGATTGACATGCCCCTTTGATTGACATGCCCTTTTGATTGACATGCCCTTTTGATTGACATGCCCTTTTGATTGACATGCCCTTTATGCAGCTCATATTGTTGGTGTGGAGCTCAACAAGAATCTCCACGAGAAAAGCGACATTGTCGGCAACAAGGTCGGCGCCCAGGGCATCCGCCAGCTCTTCAATGCCGATGAACCCGCTGCGATCCGAGTCAAACAAGTCAAACAAGTAGAGTGTTTCTGAGTATTCTCAGAAACACCCGGCATGTCCATCGCAAGCTCAAGTATGCCAATCCAGAATCGCAAGCTCACATTGTTGGTGTCCACTTCCGCAAGGATTTCCTTGAGTGACGTCAAGTCCGCCCCCAGGGCATCCGCCAGCTCCTCGATGTCAATGAACCCGCTGCGGTCCGAGTCAAAGAAGTCAAACGCCGCCTGCAGGTTCTTCTCGTTGTCCACGCGCTGCAGATGCATCGTTGCCGCCACAAACTCACTGTAGTCAATCTCCCCGTTGCCGTCGATGTCCGCCTGTTGGTGGGCCGGGGGGGGGAGGGGTGGGGTGTGGGGGGGGGTTGAGTCAGCTCAAGACGCGTTGCAGATGCATCATTGCTGCCACAGGTTCACTGTAGTCAATCTCCCTGTTACCGTCGATGTCCGCCTGTTGGTGGGCCGGCGGTGGGTGGGGCAGTCAGTGACGGATGAAGGATAAATCAGTACATGCATTGTTGTGAAACGACACCACCAACTACCACAGGCACACAGCCATGCATCCGTGCTTTCAAAACATCCGTGCACACCCCACTGCACTCACTGCATCCATGAGTGCCTGCACTTCGGCGTCGGAGAGCGGAGAGCCGATGCGGCGGAGGCAAGGACTGGTACATGCACGTACAGCCATACACAGCCATGCCTCCATGCTCCGTGCACACCCCACTGCACTCACTGCATCCATGAGCGCCTGCACTTCGGCGTCGGAGAGCGGCGAGCCGATGCGGCGGAGGCCGTTGCGGAGCTCCTCGAGGGTGAGCGTGCCGTCCCCGTTCTCGTCGATGATCTTGAACACCTCCTGCAGCCCCTGCATCTCCTCTGCCGAGGATAGCTGGTCCGCTATGACCTAGACAAGGGGGACGAGGGGGTAAACAAGGGGGAGAGTGGCGGGGGAGTGAGAGTAGAGCGAGAGGGAGAGTTCAGGGAGAGTGAAATGGGATGTAGGGTGGAACGGGTCCAAGGCAGGTTAAAGGCAGGTGTGTTTTGTGCTTAGTGGCAGCAGCAACGCACCTGGAACCACCTCAACTTGAGCTTCTTCGTGGCCTGGAACGTGTGCAGCGTGTGTGTTGTGTGCAAATGGCGTGTGGGGTCTTCCTGTCTCAACTGGCATGAAAAGAAGCTCACCTTGAGCGCCTTCTTCTTGAGCTTGTTCATGGCCTGGAACGACTGCATGCGCGACAGCACCTCCACTCCCAGCGGCGTGTCTGGCGCCTCGTTGGCATCCCTCAGCCACGGGTGCTCTGATGGCCGCAGCAGGTGGGGAAGGGCGAAGAGGGAGTTGGCGGGAAGTGGGGAAAAGTGAGGGAGATTATTTATGAAGTGCGCCAAAAGGCGCCTCGTTGGCATCCCTCAGCCACGGGTGCTCTGATGGCCGCAGCAGGTGGGGAAGGGCGAAGAGGGAGTTGGCGGGAAGTGGGGAAAAGTGAGGGAGATTATTTATGAAGTGCGCCAAAAGGCGCCTCGTTGGCATCCCTCAGCCACGGGTGCTCTGATGGCCGCAGCAGGTGGGGAAGGGCGAAGAGGGAGTTGGCGGGAAGTGGGGAAAAGTGAGGGAGATTATTTATGAAGTGCGCCAAAAGGCGCCTCGTTGGCATCCCTCAGCCACGGGTGCTCTGATGGCCGCAGCAGGTGGGGAAGGGCGAAGAGGGAGTTGGCGGGAAGTGGGGAAAAGTGAGGGAGATTATTTATGAAGTGCGCCAAAAGGCGCCTCGTTCGCATCCCTCAGCCACGGGTGCTCTGATGGCCGCAGCAGGTGGGGAAGGGCGAAGAGGGAGTTGGCGGGAAGTGGGGAAAAGTGAGGGAGATTATTTATGAAGTGCGCCAAAAGGCGCCTCGTTGGCATCCCTCAGCCACGGGTGCTCTGATGGCCGCAGCAGGTGGGGAAGGGCGAAGAGGGAGTTGGCGGGAAGTGGGGAAAAGTGAGGGAGATTATTTATGAAGTGCGCCAAAAGGCGCCTCGTTGGCATCCCTCAGCCACGGGTGCTCTGATGGCCGCAGCAGGTGGGGAAGGGCGAAGAGGGAGTTGGCGGGAAGTGGGGAAAAGTGAGGGAGATTATTTATGAAGTGCGCCAAAAGGCGCCTCGTTGGCATCCCTCAGCCACGGGTGCTCTGATGGCCGCAGCAGGTGGGGAAGGGCGAAGAGGGAGTTGGCGGGAAGTGGGGAAAAGTGAGGGAGATTATTTATGAAGTGCGCCAAAAGGCGCCTCGTTGGCATCCCTCAGCCACGGGTGCTCTGATGGCCGCAGCAGGTGGGGAAGGGCGAAGAGGGAGTTGGCGGGAAGTGGGGAAAAGTGAGGGAGATTATTTATGAAGTGCGCCAAAAGGCGCCTCGTTGGCATCCCTCAGCCACGGGTGCTCTGATGGCCGCAGCAGGTGGGGAAGGGCGAAGAGGGAGTTGGCGGGAAGTGGGGAAAAGTGAGGGAGATTATTTATGAAGTGCGCCAAAAGGCGCCTCGTTGGCATCCCTCAGCCACGGGTGCTCTGATGGCCGCAGCAGGTGGGGAAGGGCGAAGAGGGAGTTGGCGGGAAGTGGGGAAAAGTGAGGGAGATTATTTATGAAGTGCGCCAAAAGGCGCCTCGTTCGCATCCCTCAGCCACGGGTGCTCTGATGGCCGCAGCAGGTGGGGAAGGGCGAAGAGGGAGTTGGCGGGAAGTGGGGAAAAGTGAGGGAGATTATTTATGAAGTGCGCCAAAAGGCGCCTCGTTGGCATCCCTCAGCCACGGGTGCTCTGATGGCCGCAGCAGGTGGGGAAGGGCGAAGAGGGAGTTGGCGGGAAGTGGGGAAAAGTGAGGGAGATTATTTATGAAGTGCGCCAAAAGGCGCCTCGTTGGCATCCCTCAGCCACGGGTGCTCTGATGGCCGCAGCAGGTGGGGAAGGGCGAAGAGGGAGTTGGCGGGAAGTGGGGAAAAGTGAGGGAGATTATTTATGAAGTGCGCCAAAAGGCGCCTCGTTGGCATCCCTCAGCCACGGGTGCTCTGATGGCCGCAGCAGGTGGGGAAGGGCGAAGAGGGAGTTGGCGGGAAGTGGGGAAAAGTGAGGGAGATTATTTATGAAGTGCGCCAAAAGGCGCCTCGTTGGCATCCCTCAGCCACGGGTGCTCTGATGGCCGCAGCAGGTGGGGAAGGGCGAAGAGGGAGTTGGCGGGAAGTGGGGAAAAGTGAGGGAGATTATTTATGAAGTGCGCCAAAAGGCGCCTCGTTGGCATCCCTCAGCCACGGGTGCTCTGATGGCCGCAGCAGGTGGGGAAGGGCGAAGAGGGAGTTGGCGGGAAGTGGGGAAAAGTGAGGGAGATTATTTATGAAGTGCGCCAAAAGGCGCCTCGTTGGCATCCCTCAGCCACGGGTGCTCTGATGGCCGCAGCAGGTGGGGAAGGGCGAAGAGGGAGTTGGCGGGAAGTGGGGAAAAGTGAGGGAGATTATTTATGAAGTGCGCCAAAAGGCGCCTCGTTGGCATCCCTCAGCCACGGGTGCTCTGATGGCCGCAGCAGGTGGGGAAGGGCGAAGAGGGAGTTGGCGGGAAGTGGGGAAAAGTGAGGGAGATTATTTATGAAGTGCGCCAAAAGGCGCCTCGTTGGCATCCCTCAGCCACGGGTGCTCTGATGGCCGCAGCAGGTGGGGAAGGGCGAAGAGGGAGTTGGCGGGAAGTGGGGAAAAGTGAGGGAGATTATTTATGAAGTGCGCCAAAAGGCGCCTCGTTGGCATCCCTCAGCCACGGGTGCTCTGATGGCCGCAGCAGGTGGGGAAGGGCGAAGAGGGAGTTGGCGGGAAGTGGGGAAAAGTGAGGGAGATTATTTATGAAGTGCGCCAAAAGGCGCCTCGTTGGCATCCCTCAGCCACGGGTGCTCTGATGGCCGCAGCAGGTGGGGAAGGGCGAAGAGGGAGTTGGCGGGAAGTGGGGAAAAGTGAGGGAGATTATTTATGAAGTGCGCCAAAAGGCGCCTCGTTGGCATCCCTCAGCCACGGGTGCTCTGATGGCCGCAGCAGGTGGGGAAGGGCGAAGAGGGAGTTGGCGGGAAGTGGGGAAAAGTGAGGGAGATTATTTATGAAGTGCGCCAAAAGGCGCCTCGTTGGCATCCCTCAGCCACGGGTGCTCTGATGGCCGCAGCAGGTGGGGAAGGGCGAAGAGGGAGTTGGCGGGAAGTGGGGAAAAGTGAGGGAGATTATTTATGAAGTGCGCCAAAAGGCGCCTCGTTGGCATCCCTCAGCCACGGGTGCTCTGATGGCCGCAGCAGGTGGGGAAGGGCGAAGAGGGAGTTGGCGGGAAGTGGGGAAAAGTGAGGGAGATTATTTATGAAGTGCGCCAAAAGGCGCCTCGTTGGCATCCCTCAGCCACGGGTGCTCTGATGGCCGCAGCAGGTGGGGAAGGGCGAAGAGGGAGTTGGCGGGAAGTGGGGAAAAGTGAGGGAGATTATTTATGAAGTGCGCCAAAAGGCGCCTCGTTGGCATCCCTCAGCCACGGGTGCTCTGATGGCCGCAGCAGGTGGGGAAGGGCGAAGAGGGAGTTGGCGGGAAGTGGGGAAAAGTGAGGGAGATTATTTATGAAGTGCGCCAAAAGGCGCCTCGTTGGCATCCCTCAGCCACGGGTGCTCTGATGGCCGCAGCAGGTGGGGAAGGGCGAAGAGGGAGTTGGCGGGAAGTGGGGAAAAGTGAGGGAGATTATTTATGAAGTGCGCCAAAAGGCGCCTCGTTGGCATCCCTCAGCCACGGGTGCTCTGATGGCCGCAGCAGGTGGGGAAGGGCGAAGAGGGAGTTGGCGGGAAGTGGGGAAAAGTGAGGGAGATTATTTATGAAGTGCGCCAAAAGGCGCCTCGTTGGCATCCCTCAGCCACGGGTGCTCTGATGGCCGCAGCAGGTGGGGAAGGGCGAAGAGGGAGTTGGCGGGAAGTGGGGAAAAGTGAGGGAGATTATTTATGAAGTGCGCCAAAAGGCGCCTCGTTGGCATCCCTCAGCCACGGGTGCTCTGATGGCCGCAGCAGGTGGGGAAGGGCGAAGAGGGAGTTGGCGGGAAGTGGGGAAAAGTGAGGGAGATTATTTATGAAGTGCGCCAAAAGGCGCCTCGTTGGCATCCCTCAGCCACGGGTGCTCTGATGGCCGCAGCAGGTGGGGAAGGGCGAAGAGGGAGTTGGCGGGAAGTGGGGAAAAGTGAGGGAGATTATTTATGAAGTGCGCCAAAAGGCGCCTCGTTGGCATCCCTCAGCCACGGGTGCTCTGATGGCCGCAGCAGGTGGGGAAGGGCGAAGAGGGAGTTGGCGGGAAGTGGGGAAAAGTGAGGGAGATTATTTATGAAGTGCGCCAAAAGGCGCCTCGTTGGCATCCCTCAGCCACGGGTGCTCTGATGGCCGCAGCAGGTGGGGAAGGGCGAAGAGGGAGTTGGCGGGAAGTGGGGAAAAGTGAGGGAGATTATTTATGAAGTGCGCCAAAAGGCGCCTCGTTCGCATCCCTCAGCCACGGGTGCTCTGATGGCCGCAGCAGGTGGGGAAGGGCGAAGAGGGAGTTGGCGGGAAGTGGGGAAAAGTGAGGGAGATTATTTATGAAGTGCGCCAAAAGGCGCCTCGTTGGCATCCCTCAGCCACGGGTGCTCTGATGGCCGCAGCAGGTGGGGAAGGGCGAAGAGGGAGTTGGCGGGAAGTGGGGAAAAGTGAGGGAGATTATTTATGAAGTGCGCCAAAAGGCGCCTCGTTGGCATCCCTCAGCCACGGGTGCTCTGATGGCCGCAGCAGGTGGGGAAGGGCGAAGAGGGAGTTGGCGGGAAGTGGGGAAAAGTGAGGGAGATTATTTATGAAGTGCGCCAAAAGGCGCCTCGTTGGCATCCCTCAGCCACGGGTGCTCTGATGGCCGCAGCAGGTGGGGAAGGGCGAAGAGGGAGTTGGCGGGAAGTGGGGAAAAGTGAGGGAGATTATTTATGAAGTGCGCCAAAAGGCGCCTCGTTGGCATCCCTCAGCCACGGGTGCTCTGATGGCCGCAGCAGGTGGGGAAGGGCGAAGAGGGAGTTGGCGGGAAGTGGGGAAAAGTGAGGGAGATTATTTATGAAGTGCGCCAAAAGGCGCCTCGTTGGCATCCCTCAGCCACGGGTGCTCTGATGGCCGCAGCAGGTGGGGAAGGGCGAAGAGGGAGTTGGCGGGAAGTGGGGAAAAGTGAGGGAGATTATTTATGAAGTGCGCCAAAAGGCGCCTCGTTGGCATCCCTCAGCCACGGGTGCTCTGATGGCCGCAGCAGGTGGGGAAGGGCGAAGAGGGAGTT